CCAGACTCACTAATTGCTGCGCGTTCAAGTAACAACGCGTAAAACACTAATTGTGAACCGCAGACATCGAACCCAACGCTCTTCACAGACTCCATGTAGCAGGAGAGGGACCCGAGCACCTTTACTGGGAAACAGCAGCGCACGTACAGCCGAGTAAATGATATAATTTCCAAAACACGATTGAAAAACGAATGCCGTATTTCAAACAGACAAGCTACAAAAAAGCAGAGCTGCCACAGAGGAACAAAACTCCAACACATTATCTCACTCGAGGACAAAACCCGATTATTTTATGCAAAGTACAGATGACAATGGGATCTCAGAGAGCTGAACAATGATGACGGAACAAGATTCCCAAACAGGAATAATGCAACATGTTGAATGTCACTTTGGTGAAGTGAAGTGCAGAATCTTCTCTCTTCTTTTGTTCTCCAGGGACAGTCCAGTGTGTAATGCTTCACAAAAGCAGGCTTTAGACACGATTAGTTCTCTAAAAAGCTCATTTCTGCAGCTCAGCGGTGGCTATGGGACAACAAAACTTCTAGTTGTAACAAAGAACTTGTGTTTTTCCTGGAATGCTGTTTGGAAGTTTGCTCTAAATAACATCTAATATCTTTTAATGACGGTTCTGGGCTGAAGCTGCACATATTTCCTTAATGGTGAAAGTGACTTTCAGGTGTATTAGCTGTGTTTCAACATGTCTTTGTCACTGAGCCACCTTATTTCACCTGCGCTGTGCCCTCCTTCCCGTTTGAAATCTGAAGCTAAGAAAATTCTGTTTCTTGTTTTGAACCGACGAGTCCTGAAGAGAACCGTTTCCCTCAGTGAACGCTCGGCACGAACACGAGTAAACACACATGTTCCCATTTACCCCATAAGGAGCCGCTGACGCGTATGCGTACACATGGTGTACATGCATAAAAACACACACACACACACACACACACACACACACACACACACACACACACACACCAGCAGTTATATTTATGGGGTAAAAGATGGTTTGCGCAAGTCTGGAAATAAAGCTGCTCTATTTCTGGCAACTGGAGACTGCAGGGCGCTTAGATCATTATTTAGAACCAGCTGCAGAGTCTGCAGAGGGGATGTGGGTCAGGGGGGCAGCGGGACGAGGAAGTCAGGACTTACTGAAGCCTTGTTACAAACAAGCAGGAGACAGGAGCTCGAACAACACGGGGGTTTTAAGATCCATACTTTTAGAGTTAATTTAGAGTAAAAAGACAACTGATGAAGATATATTAGCTGATAATGTTTAACAAACACTTAACATAGGCTTACATTTGTGGTGATATCCTGTGGGGATAGGAAGCCTATGTCACGAGGAAGCTATTCTACAGATGAACAATAAATATGTACACTGAACGAGTTAGAAAGTTTCTCAGCCCGTAGGAACATTTAATCATTCTGTTTATCTGTAAAATTTCCAAATAGGCGACAATATTAAAGTAAATTTTGAACATTTCAAATCATTATAGATAATAACAAACAATAAAAATGTAAAATAAAACTATTTATAAATAGATAATATACAATAAGGTTGTTATGTTGTGCAGCGCTTATACACTGGTACTGATGCGTCTGTAAAGAGCCAGTGACAGCAGATGTCTGTCTGTAAATACATCAGTCAGGCTCCTAAAGACACAGAGTGACTCATCCTTCCATGAGTAAGAGAAACAAACACAAACAAATATCAATGAGTAAATCAGCCCATTGACCCACAGACACAACGCTGACAACATCACCGGGGTTTGAACCAGCTCCTTCCAGACTACATTAATCAAACCTTGACAGAGTCCGTGCAGCACACGTCCGTCTGTCTGCACGTCATTCCCCCTGAATATACTCCTCAGAGAGCCAGGAACGGACATAAACACAAAGACAGATGGTCGTGTGGATGCTGAGGATAACATTACCGGGACATTCAGAGACAGTCGTCCAACACAGGTCATCTGAGCCCAGATACAGCACGTCCTGCAGCTACCTCGTCTACATCCACCTACCTCTTTGTAAACGCATGCTATTACAGTGATATTAAGGATTAAAGAGCCTGATTCTCCTCGATTCACAAATCTCTCAAGACTCAGTGGTTCAGGACGCCAACACGTCTTTCCAACACTGATTTGATGGACGAAGCTGTTTCACTAAAAACATTTTGAATACAGTGTGAACTTCATATTCATCTACAGACACACAAACATCTCCGGTGACTTCTTCATTAAAATGAAAACCAGCAGGAATCTCATCTGACAGAGTGTTCTGGTGGTTTTGGCTGGTTCCGGCTGCCTCGTGTCACCGCAGTGCACACACGTCCATTTAACGCGTGTACAGTACACACAGTATTACAGCTCGACCCAGCAGCCAGTCTGCCCGGCAGGTGTGAGCCACAGCTGGGTGTGGAGAGCAGCCGGCGTCCTCAGGCTCGACTCTGACTGGACATCCAGCAGATCTGAAGTGGACAAGGATTCAATGCAGAAGCACCGTTGGTTTACGAATATTGTCGGAGGAAATGTCACAGTTTCACAACTATCAATCAAAATATTTCTAATATAGCTAATGAACTAAAATATTTATTGTCATCGTCAACTATAGTTTTACCTCGACTTGGGCACAAAGGTTTGGGTGATTATCTCGAAGATGATGGAACATATTCAGTATGTTTGACCTTTTTTGCAGTCACCTTTCGACGGCACGCATTGCATCGCTTCTACAACAACTCCCTGGTCATTTGGTAGATATTGAAAATGCTCCCACACTATCGGTTTAAGGCTTTTTGTTTGAGGTTAAAAGTCTGGACTGTCAGTTCATTGACACTCTTCTTCTTCTTCTCCGCGTTTCAGTTTGGTTTGGTTAATATCCGACATCCAACACGGACGAGAATCTTCACAGTTACAGATCGATGGAACTGAGAAAAGTCAATCCACTGATTAAGACCACATGATACAGATGAGTTTTTTTAATTTAATTTTCTCTTTAGTCAAACTAGATTCTTTGATTTAGACAACCTATTACATGTGGCCATGTTTCCATCTCATCTCTCCACAAAGGATGACATTTAAATTGAAGCAAAGCCAAATGCAGTACTGCTGAGGAAGACGAGGGAGGAGGAGGAGGCTGAGAGATAACAGAGGAGCTCAAAGTGCTGACAGAATGACAACATGAGAGAAAAACAACATTTCACTGAAAAACAAGATTATTTAGGTGAACATGTTAGACACACACACACAATATTTCAATCTCATTCGTCCCATATTGGCAAAACATTTAATTGCCAGAAAACAGAGAAGTATTGAGAAACATGAAGACTGAATTACAACTATGACAATGTATTGATTGTTTTAGTTAAGAGTTTAATATTCTCCTGACTAGTCTTGTTAAAAAGGGAACACTATAAGAAATATACCAGACCTGATCCTTCGGCTCTCTAACGAGCATTTCAGATTCTCAGGCCAATAGCTACACCTCGATGAGCTCCCGGGGAAAACTACTCTCAAGACATTCAAGGAGACGAAGACAAAAGGACGCCATGCCAGCTGATTCCCTCTTTATTGAAACCTGCTGCTCCTTTAGGCAGTTCATCAGCGTGAACACTCCAGACACAAGACTACATCTCAGCCGAGTGTGACCGATCCAGGTGGAGCACAACACCGTTTACAAGATATGTTTGCTTGAAATAGACCGTACTAGTATTTCCTGTGTTTTTTTTAGAAACGTGCTGGCACAGAGTCGTTTTTTTAGAGCATGTCTTACAGAGGGGGCCACCACATGATAATTAACCGAGAGATTCGGAGGAAAAGTGTGAAGGAGGCGTACCGTTTGGTATCATTAGGAACTCATTACGGCTCCATGCCGGGAAAACCAAGCCGAGAGAGGAGGAGAGCGGCAGGAGGTAGTGGACTGTTAAGATTTAATGACTGCTTATGGATGATCGGCACAAACAAACAGCCATTCTGTGTCCGGCCATGCCGCTGACTAAACGAAAAGACTTGAGTTTCTACTGGGTTCAGACAAATAGAGGCCGGCATTGTGTTACGGGATCGCACCAAAGCCGGCCCCGACTGTCACAAAGCGCTCTCTGTGGTTTCACAGAAACAGCCGTTGGCTTGGGGATGAGCCAGTGGGCCCCTCCCCCTCCCACACACACTCCCCTCTTGCGTTCAGGAGGTCTCACACCAAACGGCCTCGGCCTGTTTGGTGTAGCTGGGCAGATACTCTGAGCCAAACCTGGTTTTTCATGCCGGGGGCCTCTTTGGGCATCAGAGTGAAGCAGGGACGGCTCAGTGAGAGGAAGAGGACTTTAAGTTGGCACATGAATCGCTGATTAACAGAGTATATTCACGCCTCAGGGATGGAGATAATTAAAGGCTTATAAATCTCAGTCCTGCAAACAAGAGCAAACTAAAAGTACTTCCACCTCTCTCAGGTCCTCGATCATTCCAGCATCACACCAGAACAACCCTCTGAGGGAGACGCCAAACAACGAACAAGCTGAACAACTACTATCGCAGCTGCTCCTCCGAGCTTCCGGGAGCGAAGCCAGCAGCCCTGCAGGTGACCGTTTCAGCTCATCCTGAAAATAAAAGCAGAGTTTTGGTTGCAGTGGAGTCATGAGCGGGCCAAACCACGGGCCACACCCAGAGCAGGTATGGGAAGGTGACTCCGCACCATGATTGGGCATTATTGTTAATTATAACCCACGACAAGCTGCGGATCTAAAGAGTTCAGAGCGTTGTTTGATGTCAGCTTGTATTCTCATTAAGTTCAATACCCAGGGAGGTGCGGTCCCTCAACAGCTGTAGTTCAAACCACCACCTCACTACGAGCACAGCAGCAGGATTCAAACGCACAACTCAGGACAACTGGGCTTCAGTGGAAATGCAGACAAAGGTTCCGATACCAGTTCTTCTCTTTACAGATTCACACACTTGTGAATTCACACATTTCTGATGCTGGTATCAGAGCACCTCTAGTGATACTCCTACCTGAGCAGAGGATGCCTTTGTGCCGGGCGCAGGAGAAGTCGTCACACTCGCAGTAGCTGCCGTAAATCTTGCCGAACTCCGACTCGTAGCACAGACACTGGTTGCAGCTGCACTCTCCTCGCCCGCTGCAGATCTGCTTCCCCTCGGCTTCCCGGCAGGCGCTGAGGTACATGCTGCTGGCCTCGCCCTCCTGGCACTCACAGCGGGCCCCCAAGTAGCCCGGCTCACAGTGACAAATCCCGCAGTTATAAGTACCTGCAAGGGGCGAGAGTTACTTCATTCTACTGTTTACGGGTTTAGATGCATTCATTTCACCTCTTTATTCTGCAGGACTATTCAGCTACACCAATCTACGTGACTTTATAGCTGTTGTGAGAGCAGTAGTTCCTAAATCTGAGATGTGTCCAGTTGGATTATAGTGTTTTAAACTTGACCATTTACAGTTGTTTTGACTTTCCCAGTTAGTGATTTAAACCACTCACGACATCTTAAATGTGCACAAGATAATTGAATGTGTTGATGATAACTGATACCCATCTGTGTTTCAAATATCTCAACATAAAGCCCAAGTTTAACATTACGGTTAGAGTATAATTTTGGCTTTTATGGACATCATTATCTCAACAACAATAACCACAAGGGAGACAGCCTCTCCATAATCACGCCAAAGAAAGTAGATAATTTATGGGGTAAAAGTAGGAGTTTTCGCAGTTGCTGAAGTCAAAATACCAGGTCTGACATCGCTGATTGAGGTGTTCAACCTACAGGAAGCTGAACAGAAGCAGTTCTCTGTCCCGTGTGATTAACAACGCTCATGTGTCTTGTTAGAGTATTTTTTTTTTAACAGAAGCATATTTCCACGTGGATCTTTATGTCCCCTTGCTTTAAAAATTGTTGCGTTTCCTGCTGCAAGAAGACGTTGACCTCCGCAGTTTACAACGGCCACGAGAAACGAGAGAGAGGATGAAGTGAAAAAACGAATCAGCTTCTAATTATATACCCGAGGGTTTAAGTTTGTAAAAAAAAAAAAAATGAAAAAAGAAATGACCACCTCCCAGATGTACATCTCTGCCAACCAGTCATGTTGATGTTTATATCCATGACTGCCAAAAAATGTCACCACTTCATCATTTTATCTTATTGGAATCAGCATATGAATTCTTGAGTCATAGCCAAGAATGTGTTTTGTGACTTTCCACCACCAAATTCTACTCCGTCCTTCCTTGAGTCCAAGTGGACATTTGTGCCAAATTTGAAGACATTCCTTCAAGGCGTGACCGAGATATCGCATATTCAAAATCGACAGATGGCATTCTTATTTTTGTCTTATTATGCGTCTCCCAGTAAAACCAGTAGTGTAGATGAACTACCTATGGAGCTGCAGATGCTGCTGTTGGTTTGCGCTGTCCGGCTGCAGCCGCAGTCACACTGATAATCCACAGAAACCTCCAGACGGTCTTTGAACCCCACCGGCTTGATGGTGAAGCTCTGGTTGGCGCCGCGGGGAGGGCAGCTCCTCGCCTCCACGCTCACGTTGAACGACACCTACAAAAGATGGTGCAATTAGAAAATAGAATAAATACCGACACGCTGATGGAGAAAAGATAGAGACTTCCTGTTTGTGGAATGAGAGGAGGGTGCACGTCAAGTTCAGAGGATTTGAGGGATAAAAGTTTCAAATGTCTTTTCATGCGAGCAAACAGCCAACATACACATTTCTTGGCAGCTGCCAGCTAGCCTGTGGACGTGAACTACACGTGACCCTGTGTTGTCATGTTTACACCAGAGAGTTTACAGCGTGCAGCTGATGTGGCTTCACATGTGCAGAGAAGTGGGACATGACACAAGACCTACACCCATTTGATTGCTCTGAGGAAGGAAGTCTTAACAAGAAGAGAAACCCAACCCCGGCTGGGTTTTTTTTTTACTGTTCCAAAATGAGCACATTGGTCTGGTATTTACCTTCGGATTCCACCCGAGCAGCACCTGCTGTTTTTGGCCGGAGCAGGTAAGTGCTCTCCTGAATAAAGGGCACTATGAGACCAAATATGTCACAACCCGTGCAAGGCCTCTCCCGTTCTGAATGCGTTGGATAAATACAGCTTCCGCCGATTAGTTTTCGGGGGAGACTTTTATTCCCCGACTTATTGATTCAGGAAATATCACACGGGAAATGCATCACTGGAACTGGACCAATGAAAAGTCAAAAGGTGTAAATAATGGAAGCCAGGAATAATCTCCATTGTTACAGGTTGTTTAAAGTGACAGTAACAGACAATTTACACAGATTATCACAGAGAAACAGAAGTTAAAAAAGACTAAACACAACTCATATTGTAAACTCTGGTTTCATGAACCTCGTTTGATTTCATCGCTGGTCTCTTACTCACTTTGATGAATCTTTAATTTTAAGACTGAACACGTTGAATGCACCGATAGTTTGTCAACACAAGAACCATCACCAACATCCCCAACTTCGAACCTCAATGGCTATTATTGTCTTCTTAAAACCGGCACACATTTCTGATTATGTTAATTGGATATTTTATCAGGCAAGAATGCTCACCAGTACAAATGAGCAGTTCAGGCATCAGCATTTGTCTTATACTTCAGTCCAGAACACAACATAAGCCGATTCAGGATACAGGAAGAGCCTACGTCACATGTTCCCTGGATTCCCCCTCCACTTCAGGGCGGGAAGCTTAATGAGTTAACGAAGGACGCAATTAGATTTACTGTAAATGGGAGTCGCGAGGAGCCCAGTTCACCCAATCATGTGGCCGGTGAGGACAAGTATGAGGCTGTGGAGGAGCACAGGGGGGGCGAACACTTGGGAGGAAGTAGTAGTAGTGAGGAGTTGATACATTGAGACTGAACTCATTGAGAAAAGGCCTCGACACGCAGTTGGGCGAGTAATGTAATTGAAGGAGAGATGTATAGGGAATCAGATCAGAGACGGATAAGAGACCGCGTGTTAGGTTGTACTACAGCAAGAGGTAGACGGGACAGAAACATGGTTAACTCCAAGAGAAACATTGAACATTTAATCTCAAAAAGATGGTAAAAAAAAAAAAATTAACTGGGAGAAAACCCATAAAGAAGATCAAACAAAACACATTTTATTTGGACTAAAAACTTTTTTTTCTTTCTCAAAAAGGACCTGTGGTACATTAGCACAGACTTGCTCTCATTCATATGCATGAGGCCTATTCAGTGGTCATACATTCCTGCAGCGGATGCCGGCTTAACTACGTACACTCCAGCTAGCATTTCTCCTCCTGCCAGTTCCCTCCTTTCATGGCGTGCAGTTTCACAGGCCTCCTCCTGCCCACGTTTTGTTTGGAGGCCATTGAGATGCAGCATCAGGCTCTCACACAGTGACTGACACCTGGGAAGTTTGGCAGCCGGCGCACTGAGCCGCTACCCTCCATCCCTCCTTTCACTGCCGAGGATAAAAGACATGAGCAAGGCCCATCACCCGAGAGCCCCCCCGCCCAACCCCCTCTCCCATTCACTGCTGCCTCGATCCCCCTCAGCACCCCCGCCACCCGTTCCCATCACGAAACCGTCCCAGGGAAATAAAGTAGCCGGAGAGAAGAGCACGGGGGGGTTTCCACCACACTGAAGCTCGCTGTGTGACAGCATGTATGAAGCTGCCCCTCGCTAGCATTTTCAATAGATCCAGGACTCAATACAGATCTTAACTGAGGCCCGTGTAGAATATAAAGTGACCACCGGAGAGAGGCCTGTGCAAAATGCAAAGCAATTAAGATGTACCATCATCCCGGGTCACCTGACCTCTGCTTTTGTTCAGAGCGTCAGCAACGGAGAAAGCATCCTGGCTCACAGCCGTGGAAAACACAGCAGTCTTCAACCATTCAATGTATTATTCCCGTGTAGAAGACTCTCACTGCTGCTGCTGCTGCTGTCTCATCCATCAGACTACGAGCGCAATCACATAAAAGAACCAATTAAAAGCCAATTACATGCAACATCAAGAGGTTCAAGAGTGGAGTATTTGTTGCGAGGTCCGAGGAAATGGTCGATATCTGTGATATCAGGTTATTGTGGTGGCAGAAAATAATATTCCTCGAGTCGGAAAACAGGCAGCAAACTGTTCAAAACTGTGATTGTGCTAAAGTCCTTTAGGAGAAAATAATCTGTAAAGGAATTGTATTTTGAGACATGGATTGGTCGGTAGAGAGGCTGCTTACATGTTGTGGTCAAATCCTCTGAGCTGGCGTGCAGCATAGGTCAGTGTGCTACAAGCTCTGGTCTTTAATTTAGATTCTCGCCAGCTCTCTATGGCTTTGACCTCGCTTCCCTTATTGGCCAGCATCTCAACAACAACACAAGCACAAGAGAGATTGAATCTGTGCTAATGCAGGCAAGTTGCTACAGGTGTCAGCGAGCAGATCCGGAAAGTCCAGTTTGAGTAAAAGATCCGAGAGCTTGAAGGTCTTTCAGACACCACAACACCGCACAGCTGTTTATCATAACATGAGACGATCACAGGAGTAATCGACTTAATCTACGGTCTTGATGGTTTTGAGGCAAAAGGTCGGCCAGGGTTGGTCTGAACACAGCCGAAGGACATTGAGAGCTAAAGCGTTTCCCACTGTTGATTGAATCCAGCTGAGAAGGCAAAAGATCAAATATTCTTTAAGGAATGAACCGTTTCTGCCAAAAGTTTCTTTCCTTTTCTTTCCTTTGTTTAGATATAGTAGATAAGCCTCATCAAGCAGTTAAAATACAATTAGTTAATGATTAAGACGTAGAGAGCCACACCTACAGGGAAACAGGAACATTGGTTCAGACGGTTATAAAACGTGTGTCTCAGAAACTCAGTCAGTCAACGTGACTTTCATTACTGTGGCTACTTTTCCTCACTGGTGCCAACAAAGTCTATTTAGTTACAGTACGGGGGAATACAAGCCCCCTCCACCTCCATCTTTATCTCCATCTCAGTTTGATTTGGTCAGACAGGAAGTCCCCTTTAAGAGGATTCAAAAGGTCACACAGTGTTTGCCCAAGACTGCCAAGTCACAACCTGCTCTCTTTAGTCATAGACTGAGATTATTAATAGCACTTTGAGCAGCGCAGAAAGATTAGGGCCGGACAACATTGTATAATATATATGTCACATTGTAACATTGATTGTTTTTAAATGCATCAGTGGAAAAAGAAATCGCGTGTTGTTGAATTCTGGACTGGACATCAGACTAAACGGTAACAGTTGTTGTAGCTATTCTCAATTTAAAAAAGGAGCTAGATTTGTAATTCAGGGCATGATTATTCCCTCCACGAGGCTCTGAACAGGAAGACGGCTGAGCCGGCAGCTTGCAGCTAACAGTGCAAACAACTGCAGCAGTGCTGACAGAACCAGAGAACCGACGGTCGATTCTTTTTAAAAATATGAAACTCTTAAATGTGGTCCGATAGGTTTGATGATTAATGTTGCGTGTTGTCCAGCCCTAGGAATAAGGATAGCTTTCCAAAGCACACATGAGATGTACCTCTCTATAAATAAAACACAGAGACCTTTGGCTGCATCTTTAGACCTTTAAGCCTTCACCGAGCAGAAGGATCCAGTGAAGCCTGGTAACAACCTCTCCAGCAATAACAGCTGGATCATTTAGAGCCCTGCCCTCTCATATGTACCGCCTTCACCCGCATAATGAAAGTCTTCTACTGAAACAAATGAAGGTGTTGGAGATCGTATCTACAGCGAAACATCTCAGCATGCATACTAAACATTAACATGACTCGGAAAATTGAAAGTCACAGAGAAAATAGTTTCCTCTCATTCAATTACAACTCAACAGTTACACTTCCCGGAGCCCATTAACCCAACCTCCCAGATCCTATAAAACATGCTGCAAGCTAGAAATCACTCTCTCTCTCTCTCACACACACACACACACACACACACTATGTATTTGTACGTGTTGATAATACTACAGACAAAGTTATGAACATACAGCAGCGTCATTATTCCCATTACAATAAAGAACAGAACTGTATATCTTTTCCAGGACTATGCTGTAGCCTGAACAGCCCACAGGTCAAAGTTATAAACGGAGTGCGTCTGACAGGCCACCGCTCTCAGAAGATCATTTAGTAAAATGACGTCATGGAAAATCTGATTCATTCAAAAACAGCAATCCTGAAGATGACAAACACAGTTAACCACCTCTTAAAGGGATAGTTCGGAAGTGCGGTTGTACGAGGTAGCAGCAGCAAAACATATTTAAGACACCTAAAAAAAAAAAATTGTATCAGTTTGTTTACGCTATATTTAGAATATATTCACAGCTTTACCGTGCCGTCAAATAGCCCTTTCACCTGAGAACTGAAGCCATTTTATCGATCGATGCTCTCTTCAAAGACACCAGACTCCATTGACAAAAACAGCAATTTTACCTCACAGAACACGGGAGTTACTGGTCTACCACTGCCTTCATGAATTAGTTTGTTTGTGTTATTGTGTGACTTTGGTGTTTTAAAAGAGTTAGTTTGACTCTCCAAAGTCGCACAATAACACAAACAAACTAACCGATCGAGGCGGCGTTAGACCAGCAACTCCTGTGTTCTGCGGGGTAAAGTGTGTGTTTTTCTCAAAAGGAGTCTCGTGGCTTTGAAAAGAGTGTAGATAACGTCTTCCGTTCCCTGTTGGAAAAGACTGCTTAAAGTGATATTGATTTTTATAGGTGTCTGAAATACGTTTTGCTGCAGCACCACTTTTTCCGAGGCTACAGGATGCATAACACTTGTATAATGTGGAGGTGAGTTGGAGAGGGGAGCGTGGACAGGGACTCACCGTGTCGCCAATCTTCAAGTCGGCGCACTTCCTGAGGCCCGGCAGCGGGTTTCCATCCTGGCAGGTGGCGGTGAAGGACAGGCTGATGTCCTCTGGGTGATCCCACACCGACAGCTCCACTTTAGAGCGGATGTTCTGAGGAGGACACACCCGGGAGCACACGGAGATTGTTGGTACAAGTTAGTGACTCAGGCTTTTTAAAAAAACAGATTACTTTTGTTGCATGGTAAAACAGGATTTCTAGCAGTTGCCATCACGCACATTAACATTTTCCAACTAGAGCCATAATATGAGGCCTTCCACGCAGACATTTATAATAAAACCACCTCAGTTTATCTTTTCAGGCCTGTAACTCTGGTTGCGTAACAGCGTGGAGAAGAGTGAAACATGGGGAATGTGTTGCCTCGGTTAGGCACATTTTTAGAGTTAGTCTTACTAAAACCACAAGCGCCGTGCAGGGAGGCAGGTTGTATGTGTGTGGATGTGAAACACTACGGATCTTTGCCATGCCAGCTGCATGTGGCTCTGCGCAACATGTGCAGACCCAATCTGGAGTCACTCGTGCGCATTTACTGCAACGTAACTGTGCCCAGGATAAATCAGGATCGTACTTGGTGCACATGGATAAGCACGCCCCTAATTGGCTCTGGCTCTCTTAACAATTACAATTGTTCTGACCCGTAACACAATCACAGCCAGGAGCAGCTTTGTGCCACACAGTCAAAACCTGGAGGAGAAATGAGGTGGCTGCACAATGTTGACATCGCAGTGTTTGGCAAAGCCTATCTAGCTAACAACAGCAGAGTGGTGGATATAATGTGGCAGCTGGAATGTTAATAAGGCCGTGAGTCAAAGCGCTCGATTCAAAGCTCACTCCCACGTGCTGAGAGTGTCAAGTCTGCGTCTTTACACAAGTTTCTGTCACGGAGAATACATCGCTGCGGGTCAAAACAAGACGCAGCTCCTCTTGACTGAGGCAAGAAAACAATCTGTACACCCACACAGGAAAGCATTTAGGGAAAGGTTGACTCCATGCAGTTCAGTTCAAGTTTCAAAGAACATGCAAAACCAAATGTTTATAAGGCGGACAACAGGGCTTCCCCCTCTAAGTGGATTAGTGGACGAATCAATTGTTTTGGTCTGAGTCGACTAAGATTTCTTAGGTCCATTAATCATCTTTTTAAAATGTTTTTTCATGCTGAATGACACTTGTGCAGACATCTCTGGTAAACACAAGATTTAAAACGGTGCTTTTGTGTTATTTGTGGAGAAACTCAGTTTTATAGATCCATCGATTAATCAATAAGTCGACAAAATCGTATGAGTGTTTGTCGACTAAGAATTTCTTTGGTGGAGGACAGCTGCCAGGCAATCAGATGGATACCAGGCTTCAGTTTAGGGGCCAGACAGAGAGAGGTAGTAAATAATAATATTTCTAAAACGCAGCAGTAGATTTCTTAACACAAGTCATATGAACAGCTGTTGCTGACACTAGTTTTCTCTGTTCATGACAGAACAGATTACTTTCTCTGTATCTTTCTTCTGTTCTAAAACAACACCTGATCATAAAATGCATCATTATTATTTACACTAGACTTTGCAAGAACGTATTTATTTGGTTCCTCTCATCAAGATTCAAATCAACTCGTATGATTGTTGCCTCAGCGGGGCTACATTCCACAGTTATTGGCCTTATTTACTCATTTGTCAATTAATCCAGTGCTTCACCACCTTTGTTTGGGTTGTGACCTGTTAAAGCGAAGCTATATCTACTTTCTCTCATCCCCTAATCTTTTTTCTTCATTTCATCTTGAGGGGCATGGGGAGGTAGAGTCACAGAAAAATGGAACTGAGGAAAGTCTGAGAAAGTAAACATAAGTTTGTGAAGCAGAAATATGTTTTTTCTGGCTCCTATCCTGTTAATCAGCCTCAGATTTATCCTGCGACCCATCGACAGGGCCACGAGCCCTACATTAAGGACCACTGGTATATTCTAAATATTAGTAATATTAGTGTGATTAAATATCACAATTTCTCAGAGCAGACGTCTTAAAAACTGCTTTGTGTTGTCTGACCAACAGCCCAAAACCCAAAGATGTTCAACGTCCAACGCATTTGAGAGGCAGATACAATAGTGCATGGCATTTATATTTGTTTAATGATTAATACATGTCGATTACTTTTCTGTAATCCACTAATAATGTCTATCCCTCTGCTACAAAGTCAACAGTTAAAGCACTTCAGCACCGCATCCTCTCCACAAAAATGACAAATCCAGCGTGTGTGCAACCACCCATGTTCCCACCAACAATGTCACAGTAGTGGGAAGACTTTTAAGAATGTCCGCCCCTTTTCCTCCCCCTCCTCTTATCTTTCTTCTGTGTCGTTACTTGACTCTCTCGACACACACAAACAGGAAACCAGACACACTTACAGCTTTTCTTTACTCACATTGTAAGCGGCGATGATCAGCTGAATTACATTCTTAGAGTCCTGGTCCAAGATTTCTACTGTCGTTCCCGGTATGAGTGCTGTGAAATTCTTTGTTAGGGAAGAAATAAAGAGACAACATTAGTTACCTAATTAGATGATTGATAGGAAAAGTATATATGTGTATCTGCCGGCAGGTTTGAAAGGCATGTTTTCTTTAAAAATTGCAAATATTTAATGGATTTTGAAATTTTCGACGGTCCTTGAAAGGTTCACGTGTGACGAACGTCACCAAATCAAAGAGTAAACTAGTGCTATTTCATTCATCTTCTCTCTCATTTACAATTCCGTTAACAATATCCCGTTGCACTAACCAGATACTGTAAAAAAGAATAAATTCTGCGATCCTCAGCGCAGCTCAGAAGCCATTATTGACAAAAGCTCAATAAAAGTTGGACTGAACTGCAGGCTGTTTACACAGAGCAGAGAACAGAGGTAGTAAGGAGAGGTTGTAAATGTAGTAGTTCATATAGAGCCTGCATTTTTCTTCAATATAGGCAGGCACTTGTTATATAGAATATATTATATATTTTTTTTATTATACAACAAAATTCAACTTGAGTTTATTTTTCCATGACATACGGAACAAAATACATTTTTGAGTTTTCTCTACTTTTAGCCGTGATGGTGCTGTTTCCATAGAGGTGTTGTTACATAATGCAGTGAAAAACGAGTGAGTAAAATGAAACACCGTGAAACCACCTGGGGTTCAGAGGGTTAACGATAAAACTGTAAAAACAAAGTACCTTGTAAATAACGTACAGCCGTTTTGTGACCGCGAAGATGAGGAAGATGTTATTTTCAGCCAGTTTCTCGCCCAGAAGAGCCAGAGAGGGATAGTCCTGTGAAAAGAGACAACAACATACAGTTGAGTTCCCGGTCAGCTGACGGATGTCGATGCTCTTTGACCCCAGAGTGGTGTTTACATTTCTCTGCTGGCCCTCTACCACCACAGTAAAGCTTGATGTGGACAAGAGCTCATCTGTATCATATTTCAGTCTGAGAGCATTCCAGATTAAACTATGAAATGTGGTTATTTTCATTGGAGGCTATTCAGTTCCTACTGACGTTTTTATTTCAGATTGATGGAAAAAAACTAAAACTCCCAGTGAATTGTATCAATTACCGATCCAACACTCCTACCCAAAAACAACAACGTGGAACACTGTGTCCCACGAAGTGAAAAAGAAATCATTGCAACTTATTTAAGGCCAAGTTGAATCCGGTAACTTCTGCTTTTAGTGGAAAATAAAGCAGAAAAACAACTAAAACGCCGCCCTCAGAAGTGTGCAGATCTCCGCCAGGTGTCTCTGCAACAAAGCATTGTGTGGGCCATAAAACGGTGTTTTGATAAAGAGGGAGTCATCACAACCACGAGAGGTCCTTGAGCATGCAGCCATGACTGGGCACCCAAAATATTTCAAAGTTTGCTGCGGCAGAATGTAAGATAAGCCGTGGACAGACACAGAGGTGCACCCTCACTCACTCACACACACACACGGACGCATGCAATGTCCGTTCACAGCTGGATTTTGTAGGAAAAAGTACCTGAGATTGAACAATGGGAACGTGTGTTACAGTAAAAGGACATTTCAAGCTGAAGCTGTAAGATATCTATATAAAATAATTCTACTGACGTTCAAAATGTAACAATAGTAGCGAGTACAAATCAACAACACTGCTCCTCTTTATTCTCTAAAGGCTACTGTAATGTTTTATTTCACAAGCCGATCTAATTTGTTAAAATGACAGTCTGATATACTTTGTTTGAGAGGCGAACAACAGAAATAGCAGCTCCTCTCACCATCTTCGTGGAAGCGCTGTACTCGTGCTTGTCATCGAGGTGACACTCTCCGTCGTGGGGCTGGACGAGGCCTCCCAGCCGGCCGTCCAGAGCCAGGTGAGGCACATCGTCTGTGGCGAACACCAGCAGGTGGTAGGCCTCTTTCCTCCAGCCTATCTCCTCCTGTTCACAGGGTACAACACAAGATGGTTTTTGTATCCTTGTTGTTTTATGCAGGAGGGGGTTGAATCTAATGTTGTAGCTATGATCTGGTAATTAGGATTACATCAGAGGATGATTTTGGTTAGTTATTAGAGCCAGTGTGTGTGGAGGCATTTCAATTACAGCTCACAATGGCTTTACAGTCTGGGTTCTACGGGCGTCATAATTTAACTAAAAGCTCATTATGACTTTCCACAAAGTTCAGAGCTGCTGATCCAAACACACACACACAACAGGGAGTGAGCTACAATAGCCAGAGTATTCTACCGCAGGCTATAATCAAAAGGAAGCAACAGGCAGAGGCAGAGTGAGCATTTGACAGACTGCTGACTAATGCGTGGCACAAAAGAAACGCAACATTTGAGCAGCTGCAGAGAGGGATTTCTGCTCATTATGCGGCTCGTACAGTACACAACAGAGCTGTGGGTGCCCCCTATCAAGAGGCCTCTCTGAAGAGAAAGTACGCAGGAAATAATGATGTGTGAGAATGAGCTTTGCACACAAACCGAAGAACCATTTCCTGTTGTTGAGCGAGGCAATTTATGTTGAAATAAACTGTGTCCAACTCATGCACAAAGCATGTGTATCAAAGAAGTGTTTCCCAAACTTTTCTACTTCTGGTCTTATCTATAAGTTGTGAGAAGAGCGAATTTGTGTGTAAATAAACGTTCCGGATCATTTTTACTGCCTTTTTCCGCATCACATTTTATTATCTTGAATCAGTAAACCAGCCATATCGACAATAAATATAAGTCACAACATTGTTCAGCAATGTAATTCAATTGATCTATATCATGTGGCAACCTTCCCATTAAAAAGCTGACCTGACTTGCCCTCTGTTTAGAAAACACTCGGATCAATCAGGCCTCCGGACGGACCCGGGCCGGCCTCGCTAACCAGCGAGTGTTTGGGACATTGCAGCACGAGTAAATTACAAGGCAGGAGCTACTCGGAGGGAGTCATTCTCTTCCTGTCGAAAACAATTAAGTTGGGAGGGGGAAAGCGGGGATACGACCGGGCCTGCGAGTGACTCGTCCTCGTGTTTAACCAGCTGCACCAGACTGTACTTCCTGTCTATCCCCCCTGGTGCTTTTAATTAACAAGCAAATAGGCCAGACGCTTGTCACGGGGGGCATCTCAGGAGTTTCCCCTTTCCATCTGACCCAAACGTGCACCGTCACTCAACGCAGCCAAGTCACGAGCCAAGTCCATAGATGAAATGAATGGAGACGCTGGTCACCTTACAAACAGCAGCCTGCAGGATGGCGTCGAATCCGCCCTCTGGCGCGTCCCGGTTGCGAGACACCATCTGCTTCTGCACCTCCTCGTTAAAGCGGTCCACTTTGTCCGTCAGCGAGAGGATGTGGCGGAAACCGAAGGTGGGGACACAGTTGGGGAACAGTTTGTATCTGTGCAGAGGGAGGGGGGGGGGAGATAGGAAGAGATCCAGATATTTACTCTGAAAGTCACATCAGGACAATATCAAGCGAAGCAGCAAAAAGGTTTGTTTCATCTGTATTTACTGTATCTATAGCATTTACTTCTAAAAACATGACATCATTCATGAAGCATTTGCATCAACCCTAGAGCATTATTTTAAACTGTTCATTTGGCTTTGATGAATGGCTTCAAACGTGAAATCAAACATTGTTCCGGTTGGTCTGAATGTAGGCCGTGCTCTTGTCAGGATGAGCAATGGTAGACGTAAGCTTAGGGGTCAAAAAGCTGTCATCTATCCCTTTAAACACACACACACACACACACACACACACACACACACACACCCTAGATGTGAAGCGATGCGCGATGGTGGGCTCTGAGTTAGTGCAGTGCAGTCTCACCTCCGGGGCAAACGTGGTGTGCCACAGCGTTCTAACCCTCTATCTGTTCTGCTCTCTACCAGCTTGCCCTCATCAACGGCCGGCAGGAGATATTACTCTTCTATTAGGTACTGCCGTTAGTAATACTTCTTGTACACGTTATATTGGTACTTTTGTTCTTTAATCTTCTGTTGTTGTGATTTACTTTTTCTATTTTAGCTGATTTTTATGTATTTATTATATTTACCTCACTCTTATTGCTCTTCTATTTTGCACTGGTCTCAGTATTACGTCCTATAAACTTAATAGTTATTACTCTATTGTCACTTGACCATGCTTTAGAGCCGGCTGTCACCACCCACCCATTGCATGGATTCTCCTGGTACTTGGGCGCTGTGTAGGAGAAGGGGGACATGTTTTTGTCCACAAAGGAGCCGAAGCCCAGCCTGAAGTTGCTGGTGAGCTTGCCCATCTCCAGGGCCAGCTTGGTGCCCAAGTTGCGGATGGTGTCCAGGTCGTCTTTCATGGAAAGAGAGAGGTCCATCAGGTAGTAGAGATCCACTGGGTAGTCCTCCACCTGCCGCACCTGCAGCCCAAACCACGTCTGGTCTCCTGGATGGACGGGTGGAAAGAATCCGTTAGCTGGTTTACTCACAAAAACATTTGGAAGGAAGCTATGTATTATTTATCAGAATATTTGTCTTTCTCATACACGTGCATGCTTATCTGACGGTGTATATTTACCCGGCCGCAGGCTGACGGAGATCTTCTGAGGCATGATCTGGACGACGTCGTACTGGGTCGACCCGGACCCTTTAGAGCTCAGGGGCATGTTCTGCAGGACCGAGACGCTGCTGGTGGGGTACTCGATGAGCCGCACGTCGCAGCCTCTCCTCTGCAGGTTTTGTCTGAAGTCGCACCGTAACGTCAGAGACCGCCCCTTCCCAAACTCCTGTTCAAAACGTTTGAGTTGTGGACAAAACCAGACATTTGAGGATGTCTTCTTGGGCTTTGAGAGACACTGATTGACAAATTCTTCACCACGTTCTAACATGCAATCAACAGATTCATCAACATTAAAAAGAATCTCTGGCTGCAGCCCGTGTTGAAATATAATGACATTACGTCCCCTCTGTGTAAACTGTGCTCTGTACCTGCACAGTGTATAAACCCTGACAGTACAGCAGCAGGTGAGATGTACCTCTTGTGCGCACCAGGCGCAACTGGGATGAATCAGGAGGCATTCTTCACAGGACGTAGCGCTGCCACTCATACACATGTTAAGACCTGAGAAGGGACGGGAGCAGATCAGAGACAGGGTGGGACGGTCCCAGTGCTGAGACTGGGGAAACACGGTCACTAATGTGTCTCTATATGGAAAAAAACAGCAATGCAATAACAAGTCTGTGTTTGTGGTATATTTTAAAGTCTGTCTCATTGTATTTGTTTTAAAGGAGGGTGTTATGATTGAAATATATCCTTTCCTCTCAGAGCCACCTCTCTACTGTAGAACTGCCTGTAAACAAAACAACCAAATGTGGATTCTCTCGCCTCCATGTGGCTCCAGTTTACAGTAGCTCTACACTCCTCGTGTGTGTGTGTGTGTGCGCGCGCGTGTGTATTTATGTATCAAGCACTGAGCCGCTGTGTGATGCTGCTGTTGCAAAAAATAATAATAAACAGTCTGATAGCAGAAAACAAAGATAATTCATTGCATATCACACAAGCCTGCTTCCTCGTACCTCTCGCAGTGTGCAGGAGCACGCAGCACAGAGCCGCGCGCCACATCAGCGTCCCGGGGCTCCACATGGTGCCACTCGGCGTGTTTTCACCGACGCTTTGAGAAATCCCAGATTTGTATCTGTAATCGCAGTTGACACCGGGTTTACTGCTTCACCGACCAGACCTCTCATTGGATTTAGTCCCGCTGACTCGGATCCCCTCTCGGCTCCAACAGGAACAGCGCTTCTTGTCGGCTTACGATCCGCGTGAAGGCATATTGGTGTTTTTTTTTAAAGTATGCAGAAGGCTGCGCGCGGTGCCGTGGATCCGCTCCTTGAGTTCCTCTGCTCGGACGCCTCTACAGACTTCCACGTCCTGACTACTTCACCCATAGCTGACACCAACTCCAAAACTTCTCCATCGGTTTCATGGCACCTCTCGGTGCCGATGCGCATACAAAACCAAATCTATGCCGGGGCAAAGCAGGAGAGGAATCACACACAGATATATAGAATAACAGATTAGTGAGTGACTTCAGCAGCGATTTTCTTTTTCCAGATTTGAGTGTTGCCTGTCCGGTTTGCGTCCCAGCTGGAATCTCCGCCCATTCCCAACTAGGGATTACGTTTAACCCTTTCGCTGCTCGGTTGAACGCTTGACGCCCGCGCAGCGCTGCGTGGCCTGCGGACACCTAGTGGAGGCTCCCAGGGGCTGGTCCAGGATCTGGTCCAGGATCTGGCAGGGGACACGGATTTGTTTGCTGGGGGTCGACGGCAACATGACTGGCAGTTTAATTCCCTATTTGGTTAACTGGCTGGAAATAAATAAATCTAAATCAATAAAGGCGTTACAAAGCAGCAGAGCTGAATGGTGATGTGGGGCTGGAACAGAAGGCCCCACCATTTTAGAGGACCTTACACTCTTTGGGTTTCTTTTGCGTCTCCTGGTTTTGTCTCTTTGTAGCTCTTTTGTCTCTTTGTAGGTTTTGGCTGAAGTCACACTGTGACGTCAGAGTCCAGCCCTTCCCAAAATTCCTGAAGGAGGGAAAGCAACACACCGTGCAGTACTGAAATATGAGGGGTTGAAATTAGAGCTGCAACGATTAATCAATAAATTGTCAATTTCTGATTAACAGATTAATCGGTTTAAATCTAAGAAATAAGTCAAAAATAATCTGATTCCAGCTTTCTTTCCTCCTACTCTGTGAAAGCACATTAGAGTGCACTGCATTATATGAAGCTCTTTGTAGATGATTTGTGACTTTTATCATTATTTTAGTCTTTGTATAGGCTAGTTATTCTTCGTCCGTGGCAGTTTTGACCCCTTTTTGTAGTGATTTTGCGTCTATGTGATTGTTGTGTCTGTTGGTAGTCGTGAGTCTGTTTCTTTGTAGCCGTTTTGCATCTCTTGTGCCGGGAGGCCCCCTCTTGGAAGCTGGCTTGTCTTCTTCTTTGATGGTTTTAAAAAGCAGTTTGCATCCAAAAAGTTGCATTACCACCTTCTACTGCATCGAAATAAAACCTAATTCTCCCTATCCAACTAAATTTAAGAAAAAAAAAATACTTCTATAAAAGTCATAATAAATACATTTTCCATCTCTCGTCCCATTCTCTAATAAAACTCAACAGCTCCTGCACTTCCTCTCAGTAAGATATCCAGAAACCTTCCAGCAGCATCAGCAGGTAATGCTGCCGCGTCTTCAGACACAAAAACAATTTGTGTCAAGCAAAGCCACCGAACCACATCGAGCACAACAAAGCTGAGGGGAAAAGATTTTGATTTTGAGTCTCCAGTTTATTGACTGAGGACATCAAATAAAACAAAGCTGCTGCATATACAACTGTATGCAACCATTTAGAAGTCTTCATCAAGGATTTTCTTTAGAAAAATAATTAAACTGCCGAATAACTGGCAGAGGAGGCACTCAAACTATAATATACAAACAAAATATAATAATCAAAAACAATCCAAGCTAGCTGGAAAGAACACAGTACAGTAGAGTGTAAGGTAATCTAATTATAGATTATTTTGCTTCCCCTTCTTTGGAATATCAGAGTTGTGACTTCAAACCAATAACATGCAACAACAAAAAGACTGGCAGCACTGAACAAAGCTTCCTTTATAACGTCGTGTCTCTCGCGGCGGGCCGGGTCAGAAGCTCGGACGTCATCTCCCTGATGGTCCTGAGCGGCAGCCCGCTGAGGACGCCCCGGTGCTTCGCCTTCAGCTCCATCAGAGCGTCCACGATCCTCTGCCTGCCCACGTCCGGGTGGCGCTGGCTCAGCTCGGCCATCAGGGTGTCGAAGCTGCCCATGGTGCCGTAGTGCTGGGGCACGCAGGTTCCCTGTGCTGTGGGGGAGATGCAGACCACCTTCCTGTTCTTCATGCTGGAGCTGAGCAGTGGCTGACTTATCAGCTACACAGAGGACAGAGCAATGAATCAATCCCAAAACATCCACAGTAGTTTTTAGGTTCTCTATGTGATATCCGGAGCATCAATATAGCAGGTTCTCACCTTTCGTTCAGTCTTGGAGCTTTGTGGTCCGGTGGAATCCCCTGAAGACTCCAGCCCCCTGATGGAGGCTGAGGCCGGTCTCTGGCTCCCACCACTGGCTCTGTTGATGTGCTCCACATGTAAAGCGTGACCTTGCATGCAGCAGCCACGCAGCTCTCTGACTGCAGCCTCGGCAGATTGGGGTCCGCTCACCATCACGATGGCAACTCTGGAAACGGCAGTCAGCAAGAGAGGCGTTTGTTTCACTGACTGTGTTGATTTGGGGAGCAAATGGCTGTTCTGACATCACAACTTGCAGCACGAAGAGTTCGACTATGTTGAATAAGGACTTAAGCGTACACCAGTTTGATGTTATGCAAACCGGCTGAATCGGCATTTGCCATTATGATGCGTTCTGTCAAATTAGAAAGTAAACCTGTGCCGACCGTGTCACGGCACTAAAGGCAACTTATCAGTCATAAGAGATATGACAACGTGATTAACGTTGTTCCACAGGCTGTGTGAATCTTACTGAGGCCGGCAATAAATCTACTTTGAGTCGAGGTGGGAGGGGCATGATGCACATGCCACATGTTTGTTTACTAGAATGGTTTTTGGGGTGACGAGATGGGACAGGTCAGAGATAGTCTCACAGAAAACTAAAAGTGTGCCAATATGGCAGCATAGGAAAGGAGTGAAAACTCACTCTCTGCTTCTTCTTCTTCTTTAGTGTTTAATGGCGAACAAGCTCAGGGGTGAATTGGCACATTAACAACAAGTGGACTGGAATCGCTACGCTCCAATTCATCAGCAGTCTCATTATGTTCCTGTCCGGATCAGCTGCTCAGTCAAGTGAAACAGCGAGTGGTGAAACCAGTCCGATCCGGTTTTTGTATTAATAGCAAACCAGCGTGACTCCGTTTACAGCGGCCCAGCCCTCAGAATGTCACCAGTGATGCGTGTTGTGATAGATGTTCTCAGAGCAGCTCACCTCACATCATTCTTTAACGCAGAGATGCTGACTTCAGAGGCGTGGTACTTCTCAAAGCACAGCATCACATCACTCTGGAAAAGACAACCGTTAGAGCTGAAGTCTGCACTGCCCTCTGCTGGAGATAATGGTGTCATACAATGCACTCACATTACACAATGTGAAGCATTAAAATGTCCAACATATACCAATATTGTATTACATTTGATAACTGGGACAGCGCTCATTCTCATGAGCACAACTTTAATACGGTATTGTTTGAGCAGCAGAAACTCACCTCGGTCACGTTACCGGGCAGATTAGAAACACAGAGCACTGAGCTCTTCACCTCCTCGCTGGCTGATTCTGTGGTGAAAACAAATTACACACGAAGGAATTGTACATGTACTACATGTAGAGCTGTAGAGCTGCAGCTTCGTTCAATGACCACTGACCATTAGTCTCATCTTTCACGGTGGGCTCCTGGCCCGTCTTGGCTGCTGCTGCCGGTCCTGCATGCTGCAGGTTTTCCTCAGCGTCGTACCACGCCTCACACGTGTTGAGCTCTTGGCGTTCCTCTGCTGTCCACAAAGGATGGCACAGCTTTGATTTAATCAACTACTTCCCTGGTAATTGTTTAAAAATGTGAGAGTGATGCTTGTGCTTACTCGTCTTCTTTTCTTCTGGCTTGTGAGCGTTATGGGTAGCATCTCCATCTTGGGGAACAACAGCGACGGCTCTTCTTGCTTTGCTGTTCTCCATCTTTCTCTGACTGAGCTGTGAAAGAAATGAGCCCAACACCAAAGCTGTTCAAACTTATGAGGAACAAAAGGCCACATTGGGTTCAATTAGCGGCAATAAAAGCAACACAGCTGCTCAAAAGGTTTTTCTTTGCCGTCTCAGTGTGTAAGCATACCTGGGAGCCATTTGTGCTTTGATCAGCAGGACATCCATTTTCTTCTCCCGATGTTTTATGTTTCTGGGGCTCCTGGGAGCTCCTTGGGATCAGAAAAGACAACATTACAGCATCTGGAGAGTCTCCGCTGCTAAACCGGTGAAATTGAATCACTGCACGTCTGTGCTAACATACCGAGATGGAACATTTCCCAGCACCTCACTTATGGTCTAAACAGGGAACAAGGAGAAATTAGACCATTGGTATTACAGCTCTGGTGGAAATACAAGAGAACAATGCAGAGTTTTTCCTTATTGGAGTAGGAGGCCGAGTCTTACCTTTGCAGGGATGAAAGTTGCATGTGTGGTGACCTTCTCAGAATCAACAGACAGAGGCCGAAGCTGCTCCAGAGGAACTCCTGCCAGGATCTCATCCCTCATCAGATTATACTCAGATTCCAGTTGTTGCAGAACACTTGCAATGTTTGCAGAAGGGTTCTTTGGCCTACAGAGAGAGGCAAATACTAGTTGACCTAAATCCATCTGGATGAACACAAAACTAGAGTTTACACCCATTAACACAGTAGACAGGTGAAGTGTCCTTACGTTACTCCCTCAGAAGAAGTGTAGTAGAGTCTCCAGCAGTACTGTCTGCACATGCTGTGCTGCAGGGCCAGGAGCCTCAGCTCTGCTCGCTGAGCACGCTGGACACAGTCACAGTCCTTTCTCAACTTACCACCGCAACTGGAACACATATAAATAAATATATTAGTCCTACTGTCGGAGAACTTTGGAGCCAAGTAGCACGGTGGGATTAGAAGTCTGTCATTAAAGCAGACGTTTTCTTAGACGGTTAAGTCGCCAAATAAAGAAGCATTTTTAGTTTTGACCGAAAAATCTGCTATTTTATTTTGAGATTATATTCTCAACATTCAAGTTTATAAAATGAGTGTTTTGGCTCGCCTGGTGGTTTAGTACTGTAGTAGTACATCTGCAAAGAAAGCCTTCACTGTCTATACAGGTCAACTAGTAGATTGGGATTTATTTTCATGAATAAAAAGTTTAAAAACATCCTCCTGACTATTTCTGTGTGCATCTGATACACATTACCTTTTCATTTCCTCTTTCTGCCCTCGTAGTTTCTCTCGAACCTTCTTCAGTTTGATAAATTCCTGAAATATTAAAGAGAGATTGTGTTATGTTCTGCGGGAGCCGTTCTAAAGACTGCTCTTTGGATTCAGCCTTACCTCAGCGAGATAGTCTAGATCCACCATGTGGACTTCAGTGATCACGTGCTTGTCAGCCGTTTCCGGACGCTCAGTTTGGGTGACGGCTGACGTGCACGGCGGCAGCTCGGTGCCAACTGTAATGTCACGGGTAGCAACTCTGGGCATAAGGGAGCAGCAGTGTTCTGCAGCGACAGACTGATCAGACTTCGAGGTCTCACTGTTGGCTGCACCATCAGTGTGGACCGGACCTGAGTGAACCCCACTGTTTTGTGCTTTGATGTCATCGCTGATCAGGCAGGCCAGTATGCTCTTATCGCTCTCCATGATGCTGTGGAAGTTGTCACTCTGATCTCCAAAGCTCAAGCTCGCTTCATCCTCACCTTCAGTGTACTCGTTACCACAGGCCATGTGATCGTGAAGCCCCTCCTCTGGGCTGTTCTCCTCCACCGGGTCCAGAGGTGAGCCGGTCGCTTCGAGCTTCACTGGCTGGAGAACGCTCCTGTCGCTGTACTCTGTACCGTCCATTTGAACACTGTCAAAGCTGTAGTACTCCGGAGACAAGCCTTTTTCAATTGTTGGCCATTCTGACCTGTAACATGAAACAATGTGGCTTATATCCAGAACAATTCATATTGCACTCTGGACGGTTCTACTCGGTATCGGTAATTGCGTTATTGCCACAGGAGCAGAGAAAACAATACCTTCACCGGGATCTTAGACAAGTTCTCAAACTGATGAATTCCAATCTTTAACTTCCAGATATGTTTCAGAAACGAGCAAACTACCTACTGTGTGAGCCATAAGATGCAATACTCACTGTAATAGACTGACTTCAGCATATGTGGAGATGGGACTCTGGCCTTGGCTCCTGAGCTCAGGCTGCCCCCCCTGTCGGTGCCGTTCTAGATCCACGTCCAGAGAGAAGCTCGTCAGAGCTGCCGAATCCTTGCTGGACGTCTGCCACGATGGCCTTTGTTCGTTCAGATGCGATGAAGCCTTCAGAAAAATGCCAAAAAAAAGGTAACTTAACTTAGAGACAGTTAAAGACTACACCAGCGGTATAACCATTTCATATAACAGAACACTGTTTATACCCCCATTGAGCAGACGTTCTGCTGGTGTGGTTCCAGCGTGGGGAAGCTGTTGAAGGCTGCCGGATGTTTCTGGGATACATCCCCGCTGTTGCTGCAGCCGAGCAGGTTTAAAGTCTCCCTCACAGTATTGGGAAGTCTCTCCAAGTCTAGACGAGGACCAGAGGCGCAAACAAACAGACATGCAAGTTAAAGCTTTTTCTAGTACGAGAGTTGGGTTTTGTTGTTCAATGTAATAATTCTAGTAAATCTCATGATATCAGGCTCAATCACAGCTATTATTCTAATGTGTTCAACATGTTACAGTACAACTGTGCCCTGCAATAGTGTGGCCATCTGTCCAGGGTGGACAATGTCAGCTGGGATCGGCTCCAGCCCCAAAAATTAAGTTCATCACTAGCCGTGTATGAGATTTGCAAATTACCAGAACCGCACTTGGTTGCTCCGGACAATGTAGATCTGAGAATAAAACAGGTTTCAACAATAAAATCACTGTAAAATGACAAAGAATCATTTGATGTAATGCGTTATAAATTTACTGTGAGACATGCGTCGGCCTGTTGGACATCACGGCTGGCTGGGCGGGTCTGACACTTGAAACGTGACCTGCATTATGAATAAGAAACTGTCATAATTTAATCTGTGCTGCTATAACACGAGAATATCATCATCTTAACAGACTTACACTTCACATAAACATGATGCCGAGTCAGCTCTAGGGCGGGATGTCTTAGCAGGAACTGCTGAAACCCTCCTTCATCTAGGAGAAAAGAAAACAAGAGACATTTTGACCGATATTAATCTCCCAAAATGTCCTTTTGTCCTACTTTTTACTAGCATGCATGTCGAATTAAGTGACCTCCTCAAAAGGTCTTGTTTAGTCCGATCAAACGGTCCAGATCCCAAACACATTTGTTTTTTAGTTATATAATCATACCTTGTATGATCGTTCTGTCCTCTGCAGACAAACAGAGGTACCAACCCAGCAGCTTTGGATCAGTCAAGGAGAGGAATTTGTGATAATCCACCAAATCAAATACAGACCTGGAGAGAAGAACAACACAGCTCCTGGTTATAAGTGTGTAATATATATATATATATATATATATATACATATATACATACATACATACATATATACACACACACACACACACACACACACACACATATAAAAGAAAGACAGACAGACAGACAGAGAGAAAGAGAGAGAAAGACAGAGAAACAGATAGAAAGAGAGACAGACAGAGAGAAAGAGAGAGAAAGACAGAGAAACAGATAGAAAGAGAGACAGACAGGATATAGCTAGATACCTCTCCAGCAAGAAACTCCTGATTGCTTCTGTTGATGAAGAAACCACATTTAGATTAATTCTTTGAAAACGTGTCATTGACAGCGAGACATGTATTTCTAAGATTGTTATATAACGTTAACTTATATATAAATATACAGCCCACACAGAAACAGTATTTTACATTTAAAGTTGATATGCATTTACTTTACCACAGACATCTTCTTCTTAACAACAGTATAACTTACTTGGACCTGGCTTTTCAACCACCATATTGTAAAAACAGGGCATCAGGTGATGCAACGGCACCCCCACGTTCGCATACTCACTAGCCACGTAACTGTATGGTGGCCACGCGGACTGAAACACAGCCATGGGTTCAGTGTCCGACACAACGTCCAAAAAACGAGTCGAATAACCGGTCGTTTGGGTCGACAAAGTGTTAGTGTGACTCTGTCACGAGTGGGGGGGGGAAATTAACGAAAACGGCTAATGTTAGCTAGCTAGCTAAGACTAACTGACACAAATATCAAAGCGCAAAATGATACTGAAAATAACTCTTTTAACCTTAAACGTCAAACTACTTCCTGTCTTGCCACTTTCACCGGCTTTGCAAGCATGAATAATAAGCAATGAACGGGTTTCAGTTGCAATAGGAGTTGCCTGTTTTGGAGGTGGTGGCAATTGCTTCAGGTTTGCAAGGCTAGGTTAGCCAATTAAGCTAATTGGTAACTGCGGTGTGATGCGGCGTTTAAAGGGTCAGTCCGCCCATGAGTCAAGTCATGAAGGCCAAGATTGTGGACAGGTAACGTTAAACGAAGGATCCCTTATACAAAGGACTAGTATATGTAGAATTAACTCACAAAAATATAAAATGACATTTGAAAAACCAACTCTTTTAAGAAACAGTGGCTTGTTGTTCATAGGGACTATTTCTTCAGTGAAATTAGTTCCAACATTATTCTGTATTCACTTTAATATATATTTGTTCAGTTCCAGGAGAGAAATGTATAACTATCTTCATGATTAGCTGTTAGATACACAAGAAGTAATTTGGGTGGAAATACCTTTTAAGAGTAACCTACGTCATTTCCTGCCAGGCGGTGGCGCTACAAGGAGCAGTTAGCAGTGGAGCTCTTGTCCTTCTGCTTTTTAATGGCGGTTGGAAACGAGACTGCTCACTTCCCTCGTTTTCATTTTCATCTCTTCATCACATCTTATCAGCTAAACTTAAATAAATATGCACAAATTCACCTCAGTACTCTTTTTTTTTTTGATAGCTTACTGGCCGAAATGTAGGCACAGCAATCAAAATCTAATGTTGTCAAGTATACTACTGATTAAAACACTTCAAATTTAAATATAACATTTAACATGATATTTGGTAAAGGGCTTTTAGAAAAACATGTTTATATTTACCAAAGTAGTCGTTGTTTTGGTGTCATACTGAAACTCGGGTTCTATATTGAATCTATAAACCATGCAACTATAAACACACATTTTATATTATTTTAGTAGGCTACAATATTACTGTAACCTCCACTGTTATATATATAATAAGCATTTGAACTTAATGCTCTAAAATGAGCTTTATTCTGAGACTGAACATGTGGTTTTGCTGAATGTAAGCACGCCATGTCTAAAAGAAAGAAGTAAAGCTGTTTTGACTCTTTGAATTAAGCATTTTGCACATGAAAAGCAAAAGCCCAATGGTATAATATTCGGTGTATATCTACCTTTGATAAACACCCTGCTGAATTAATATCAGACGTGGTGCTGCAGAGCAGTTGTCACACAAACACACCTGTTGCTATTCAGTGGAGAATGCACAACATATCAAAAGCAGAATAACTAGTTTGACTTAAACTCCTTGTGCTGCATATTTCCATCCTCTCTTCTGTTGTTTACTCTGGCTCACACAGAGAAGAACGGTGTACTGAAGAGGAAATTCACCAAATAGAGAATTTTTCAATATTTTAATCTCTCTCTCTTTACAGGAATGCACAGGCCTACTGTTTTTGTTTACTCTTGTGTAACATAAAGGGAAATGCAATGGCAATAAACGTCAAGAAAGTGATTTTTGAATGAACAGTTTGAGTCTGCATTCGCTGATTGTTAGTGGTCATCACCCCGGCGCTCCATTCAATCATGCTGCTGTTGAGGTTCTCTCCAAACAGCCACAAGGAAGACAATTATATAAGTTTGGCGTCAGCATGTTTAAAATCCAGAGGATTAAATGTAGCGACTGTGTTGTTGCGCCTCCAGGACATACTCATGTCCCAATCTGATAAGTGCTACATTTCGGTTCAGCACCTTTATTGTCAACGGTGGAGCTGAGAGTGAAAAAAACACAGATTACAAAAGCTTCAAATCTCAACTCCCACACTACACCCACGAGTTACAGGGAATAAAACAAATAAAAGGCAGAAAGCTGCAGCCTGTGAAGAGTTTGGCTGCAGTAGGGAACCGTTTGTCCTTCTATTGCGATGTGTCATTTCAAATTGTGAAAGTCTTACAGGGCAGATGTAGTGGTGTCGCTATAGTCGGATTGGTTAGTTTCTGGTGCCTGTCACAAAGTCCAAAATATGTCCCTCAAATATTTTGTCTGGATTGTGTATCATAAATATCATCAGTACGGAGAAGTTAAAGTGTTGTTTTCTATGCAGCAGCCATCACAACACATGCTGCGTTGCTGCAAAGTTGAATTAAGTGTCAGAACTCTTAAGTCCATTTTAAGTTGTGACAACGAACTTTGACAATGATGCACTCATGAAATGATTCAGCATTTATAGACCGGTGCAGTATGTCCACTCATGCACAAATGACATTTCGCGGGAAATAATCTATTTCATGATATACATCCAATCCCAAAAACCCAGACGCTGGTCGCCTCTTAAAGTTATACCATGCAGTAAACAGTGTATAGACTCATGTAAAAGTAATTCCTCTCAATCATCACATATGTCCCAATAGAAGTGTGTGGTGGGGTTTGTATCTGCAGAGAACCTGCCCTCTGTCCTTTTTTCAAAAAATGATGTTTGAACTTCTACAATTCCATGATAGCTGGGCAAACTGGGATTGTGGATGATCGAAAGCTCCAAATCTTCTACCAAATGGACTTTGTGGTGAGATTGTTTCGTCAATACTGTCTCCAACTTTAGTTCTCAACATTAGCATCTCTGTTACAATGCCCCTTGCTTCCATATCTCAGCCTTTAACAAGCTGTTCTTCTAGCCCTGCTGCTTCATCAGCATGTTAAACAGCAAACACCTCCCTGGCACTGTTACCACCGCTCACTGAAAAGCAGATACGTAATGCTTAACAGCAGACCGGCTCAGTAACAAACTGTTTACATGAGTAACGCTCAGCAGTGCTCATGAAACATTTCGGCATAGCTGTCACCTCAGATGTAAATGAGCTAAAAAAAAAAGAGAAGAAGAGAGCTGAGCTCAGTATAAGATAGTTATGCTGACAATGCAGTGTTTGTGTCCTACTCATGACAATTCAACAGGAGGACACGAAGAGCCGGGGATTGAACAGCCAATAAGATGAATGGCCCATCCATTCATCATATACAAACAATAGTCGAATGTATACTTAATACTAATGCTGCACCTGCATTGTTCATTAAGATATTGTTTCCTGACATCTGACAAGAACACGATATACAGTACAGTCTTCTACAAAGGATTCACTGTTGATATGTGAATGTGTGAATGCAGCTCTGGTGTCAGGTAGGATTAATGCAGGAAATCATCAAGTACATTTTTACTTGCCCCTCTATACCAATTGTTTTATTTATTAGCGGTTATTAAATAACAACAAAGACCATAGTTAATTGTCATGTCTTGTTCAGTAAAGCTTAATCTGGAGTTTCGCCCACTTTCTCTCATGCCATCTGACAGCAAAGACAAAGGCACGACAAAGAACAGGTGTAAATATTCAGATTATCACAGAGTTCTGCTGCAGCGCACGACATCCTGACGGGAAGGTTAACCACCTGGTACGGTAACACCTTCTCTCTGGAAAGCATGGCCCCGTAGAAGGAGATTTCACACTTCACCTCACGGTCTCAGGCTTCTTAAAATACACGTCTTAGTGGATACAAATACTTTTTGGACTGGATTTTCTCATTGGACCACCCAGAACACGTTCTTCCTGTCAATGTGTTCTCTCATGTTGTAGGCTCAATTGTGCTGTGTAAGTCAATTTACATGTTTCTTTGAAGTTGCTTTGTGTCTCTTTATAATCTCTTTGCAGCTGTTTTGTGTCTCTTTGTAGTTGTTTTGCGTCTCTTTGTAGTCATTTTATGTTTCTTTGTGGTCATTTTATGTTTCTTTCTGGTCATTTTATGTTTCTTTGTGGTCATTTTGAGTCTATTTGTGATTGATATGTGTCTCTTTAAATGACATTTCGTAGGTGAAGACACTTTGGGCCCCTGGGCCTGTGCCCACTAGGCCTGTTCAGTAATCCATGCAGGACTCTAGTGCTCATGTTCCAACAGGACAGGTACCCATCCACTAGAGGGCAGTCATGGTCAATGAAAAAATAACTACGAGCCCTCATGAAAATCTGGAATAAATACTGACTTGTGGGTGGTGTGTGTGTGTGTGTGTTTGTGTGTGTGTGTGTGTTTGTGAGAAATCCGTTATGTAACAGAGTTTTAGGAGAAGGGTCTCACCATGGTAATTAGCATTGTGCGAACACAGCGTGTTGGCCAAATAATGTGAAAGATTTGTGCTGTTCCCTTCCCGGTAGCATGACCCATATTTCTCAGTATTCGTAGCCAGAACAGAGTGGTTCGCTTTCTCAAACTGCAGTAGATGCAGGCTCTGTGTGTGTGTGTGTGTGTGTGTGTGTATTGACACACTGAGTGCCTGCCATGGTCTGAAGACTCAAAGCTCAAATCACATTATGCTCGAGCTGCCTTGTCTTGTGTCAGGATCAATAATTTACTTGGAAGCAGCTAGTGGTCATAATGTATGTTGAAGGACCACCCATTTGATACGTCCACTTTCCTCCCTGCTCAAGCCCAGAGCCATGTATCAGGCACTCTGTAATAGTGTATGTATTGATTTAGTATGTTTATGATGCAGCCGATTTTGTTTCATGTGTGGAGCCTTAGGTCATCCCTCCAACATGCATATATATTGTACCTTACCGCCGGCCTTTGGCAGTCAATTAGTGGCAAGGAGGAGGCCTTCTGTATTGGTGATGGAGCGTCTCCAAGGTGATGGGACCTTTCCAAAGCGTCACTTGCTCCTGTTAAATGGATCAGGATCATTATGTTCGGCTCACGGCTTAATCTAGATTGTGGATAAAAGAACGAGGGCCAGTTGGTCAGTTCACCAAAAAGAAATACAGCTGAAACAATTGGATAGATTACCGGGTAAAATGTGTTCAAACTTCCGTGTAACCCCCAGAGGATGAAGCCTGTTGACTCATATTGTGATGGATTGCCAGGATATTTAGTATAAACATTCATGTTCCCCACAGGATGAATTTGTTATAACTTTGGTGACCCCCTGAATGTTGATCTAGTGTCACCATGAAGACCAAATTTATGTCATTCCCATCAGCTTCAGTTTAGTGCAAATGTAAAGATTAGATTCAGATACCCATATTGATGATAACCGTGATATAAAAAAGGCAACATCGATATTATGTTAATAATACACATATGATAATGTTAATCCAGAATTAATAATCCAGCGCCTCTTAAAGGGACAGTACGTAGGATTTGGTGGCATCTAGAGTTGTGGTTGTGCAAAACCATGGTAATGCTACAAAGGCCATCCATACCATAATACAACAATTTACAGAGCAATGGAAGTCAGACGGCGGTACCACAATTTTGCACTTACTGCCCCAGTTTTGGAAGCGTGTTGGAGAAGTACTGTGGCGTAAAAACGCAGAAGTCTCTCTGTAGAGCCAGTGTTTGGTTTGTCCGTTCTGGGCTACTGTAGTTAAACATGGCGGACTCCGTAAAGTGGACCTGCTCCGTAGATATGAAGGGCTCATTCTAAGCTAACGAAAATGCAACAATTCTTAGTGTCAGGTGATTATACACAAATAAAAACATAGTCATGAATATTATATTCATTTTCTGCTAATAGATTCCCTGAAATGCTACAAACTGTGCTTTTAAATCACACTTTTGTACAATTATGGTTACAGACTCTCCACACTTTACTCGTATTTTTACCGTAATTAATTTGCCAAAAAAGAGAGAAAATGCACAATAAATAAAGAATTTAACTGATAGCATTATTCATTTGTTTTTTTAGGTTTTCAATAGAAATGTTATGTTGGCAGCCATAGCTGGGATGCTAACACGCCCAACAAAGATGAACATGTTAACTTTATAAGTGCTAAACATCACCACGTTAGCATGTAGCTCAAAGTACAGCCTCACAGAACTGTTGACGGAGTCCTTTTCAAACAAGAATGAAAAATCAAAACACATGAATTCTGCGTTAAAAAAGTTGGAAAAGCTAGCAAGTAGACTTTTGCGTCAAACTTCTTGTTCCCAAGGTCTCAAATGAACGTTCACGCTCAGAACACTGGACCGTCTCACGGTGTGTCCGTGACAGTGATGCTCTGCTCCATCTGAATCTGACAAGAGGACTGTGGGCGTCTGTCTGAGAATTCACAGCTAAGGTGTGAATGTTCATATTCCAATTTTTGCAATAATGTGCATTTTTTTAATTGTTGTTTTAGTACACAGGCACTACTACACTAAGGGATGAACGATTTGTTCCATCGATGTGTTATAAAACAGTGGATTATGGACATAAAATGCTTGCATTTCTCCCACACTGCTGCAGTGCTATAAACTAACATTGCACATTATCTCCACTATTCATAGACCTCAATCCGAAGAGGACTTTTCTAAATTCTTACACCTCCACCAACTGAAACAAAGAGCAGAGAGGAGTAAAGAATATTAAATATATATATATATATGTTATCAGCGTTGGCAGCTACTACGCTCACACATACACACATTATCAGGGCAGAGCAGCTCCCATGAGCGCACTAAAAGGTCTTTCATGGCATTCAAAGGCTCTCTGCTCTCTCAATCAATGGAAAGTTGCCTGCCAGGCAGACTGTGTTGTTAGAGACCAGAGCTCAGCTTCTGTGCTCTCAGAACTGCTGCACTGCGAGTCTAAAGCTTCACAGTTTTACCACATATCAGATATACCGTCATTTCAGTTCAAGACACATTTAACAACACGGCGATATTACGAGGCAGAAACTGTAAACATGAGTACAGGAGCCTCGAGGGGGGAAGCTGTTCAGACCATCGACGAGATGTTAATATCAAACAAACATCACAAGATGGTTGTGAAAACCACAAGTCAATTCGAACAATGCACACTCAGATCCATGTGTGCGTATTGCATCAGATATCAACATTATATATTTGGTTAGATATTAGCCCATTGAAGGAAGGAAACGTGAGAATGTTGAACAGATTTTTTTATTCTTTATTCTTTTCCCTCCCTGGTGTTCTCTCGGCTGGCAGACTGCACTTTAACCTCACAGTCATTGTACAGGGACGCATGTATATAAGATATTTTAATATTTATGGCTTACTCTGTGCTCTCAGTCAAGTCTTATACTTGCACTCATGAATAATTCCACTCAAATAAGCACATGACGGCTCACTGAAGGTTTTACAGCATCAAACTGTGAATTATTCACCGATGAATCACGCTTGAGCACAAGAACATTCTTCTTTTTGTCAGATATGGATAAAGTGTAACTAATCCATAAATATTAAAATACTCTCTGGTGCCATGTGTCAACATTGTTGTTTCAAAAACTACACTAAACCTCAGAAACCAAACAGACATGATTGTAAAAACTCAAGAGTTAAGATAACGTTTAAACGTCTTGTACACAGCTTACAGCCACCGCGGATTAAAAAAAGAGAGAAATCATTTACCCAGAAAGGAATCAGGGGGAAGCATGTGACTCAAGAAAAAAAATCAGCCAGGTCAAGCGCAGTGACTGCCAGACCACAACAGCCAGTCAGCTGACCGACTAAGCGCGAGCAGGAGGGAGGGGGGGAGCAAATTATGAAACACACCAGGACTTCAGGCAGTGAAGCATAAAGGAGCGTTTATTGTACCCAGTACAGATTATCATAAACTCAGCAGTGTAAGAAACACATTGTGAGGGGAGGGGAACTGAAGCCTATACAAGTGCAGACGATCCCTGCTGCTCGGAGTGGATCCCATGATATAATGTGTGTCGTCACTGTGGCCTTTGGTGGAACTTCGGCCTTTAAAAACACACAAACACACTCTCTCTCTCTCTCTCGCACACACACACACTTTACAGGCAAGGTAATATCATCTTCTCATCCATTCTCCAACCTTAAAGAAACAGTCTGCAGTAGTAGCATCATAAGGATTGTTTTTTTTTTTTTTAAAAAGGTACATGTCTATTAGAGCCTAAACTAAACAGCTTATACATTAAAATCAAAACAAATGCAGCCTTATAGCAAAAATATATACTTTATATACGTTTGTCTTCGCCCCCACCCCCTCCCCATTCAGAAACATAGATAATAAACACAACAAAATAAAATTAAAAAATGCAGAGAATATCACAAATATCTTCTTTGTCCAAAGACAGTTAAAGCGATATGTTAGTGGACACAGTCTTGACTGATTACACCATGCAAAGAGAAGCAGAAGTCTCCCGTTGACGACGTGTGACCGGCGGAGAGGCGTCCAGAAGAAGGTCACCCTTCTTTATTTAGTTTATTTTTTACTTGCATGCAACATCCCGATGCTCCGGCCATACTGGTGCATCAGAGGAACTAGTACACGGCCAAGAAAACATCAAGCACCCAGACTGAAATACAAAATAAAATGAAGAGCAACGGGACCATTTATCATAGACGACTTCTGCTCTTAATGAATTAACACCTCTGGGAGAATATGTACTTGGTGTATGCGTCCCTTTTGGAGTGGAGGAGATGGAGTGCTAATCATCTCTGAACTTTTGAGGACCCAGCAGTGATGAGCAGTCATGAGAGGAGTCGCACTGTATCGACTGTGGGCGTCTGAAGGGAGCGGATACAATCCCGTACACACGGGCAGAACGATTAAAGTTTTACACATTTACAAATGAGAGCAGCCCAACCGACGAGCCTGAAATACAGCAACGCCCCAGAAACCTGAGAGCTCTGGGTCTCAAACTAAATGGTAAAACAGCTGGCATTTAAAAAACAAACAGAAAAAAGGTCTATCTACAGAAAACAGATCTGTGGTTTTAGAATATGTTGTGTGTTTGTTTGTCAATCCGTTTTTGCAAATTAAAGCCCTTTCACGGATCTTGTAGTTCAGATGTGGCGACATGAAAATGGGGGGGAACCAAAAAGGCAACGATAGAATAGTGCTGCATTTAGAGTATCTCATTCGATTTTTAAAATTTTTTTTTTTTTACTCGGTTTGGTTACTTGATTGTTTTTAAGAAAAGCAGATTGTCACAAAATCAGAAATGCAACAACTCTTGCAGTCTCGTGCAAAGAGGGGGCTCTGTCTTTTAAAGATGGCGGCGTGTGGCCTCGCAGCCCCTTTTTGCAGTCCAGTTCACCCTCACGAGTTTCACAACCCTCTCTCTCTCTCTCTCTCTCTCTCATACGATGCCGCTGGAGTAGATCTGTCGCAGGCTTTTCCCCTCATTTATTCTTAGCTTGGGAGCATACAGAGTTTTATGAAGGTTTTCCATTGGAGCCGGAGAGCAAACCACGAAGGAGCGAGAGCGCGAGGCGTTCCTTCCAGGCGGCTCAGCAAGTTCCAGCTCTGGATTTTTAAGAGTGGGCGTCGAGAGGCTTTTGGGGAGTGTTTGCGTGTGCATGTGTGTTGTGCGTCAGGTACCACCCCCCCCCGCTCCTCCTGCTTTCCCGCTGCTTGTTAGTAGCCGTAGCCGTCTGGGAAGGGCAGGCCTGCCACACACTGCTCCCCGGCGTCCAGCAGGTAGGGGGCCATTTCCTCGTAGTGGGTGAGGGGCACGGTGTCGTCGTCCACCCCCGGCAGGCTGTCCGGGTCCACCTTCAGGTTGGGCCTCTGGTTGTCGGGGAAAGCCATGGAGAAGAGAGCCTCGGGGTCGCACACAAACTTGTACACGTACCTCTCACCGGCCACCTGAGAGACGAGACGAAAAGACATTTAACTCACATCGTAAAAACATCCCGATACTTCTTGTGCATTCTGATTGCATGCAGGCTAGTATTCACTAATGAGTCCTATGTTGTAATCTAATATCACTATCTCCTTTAGCCCGCTTGCGCCACAAAAGTTGCCGAGGCGAGCGGGCGGACAGAGGGAGAGAAAGGAAAAGGGGTGGACGTGCCTTTACCTTCTGCATGATGCCCTTCTCGTAGTAGTAGCGGAGCGAGCGGCTCAGCTTGTCGTAGTTCATGGCCGGTCTGTTCTTCTGGATGCCCCAGCGACGCGCCACCTGAGGCGAGACACACAAGCACAAAGAATTGCAATAATCTACATCGATAATTGATATTTTTGTAAACTTGTAGTTGAGAGGAGTCGAGGTGGAATGTGAGAAGAGTCCAGCATGTGGACAGTAGGGGACTGACCTCCTCGGGCTCAATGAGTTTGAACTCCATGCCGCGGCCGGTCCACGCTATGAAGTGGCCGTTGGCCGGGTCGTCCAGTAGCGTGACCAGGAACTGCCAGAGCTGCAGGGAGCCCCGGCGCTGGTAGGGAGGGCCGTCCCGATAGACAGAGGGTTCCTGTTTCACTTTGCCTGTGAGCGGGATGAGAAGAGACGGAAGATAAAAGTCAACACTGGACTCCACCGCCACCACAGTGTGGTGAGACATTCCTGCCAGATGGTGACTGTGAAGTGGACTTGCCGTTTATTATGCACCATGAGAAGTCTGGACTTCATGTGAATACAACATCTCGTACTTTTGTGCTAATCTTTTAAGAGTTTCTTCTTACCTTCTAATCTTTCAGGGACCACACAGGTATCGTCAAAGTACAGCTGATGATCTCTGTCGAAGGAGAAGCCTGCAATAAGACAAGAAAAGAATGCAACATGAACGGGATGAAAGTGAAGCAGCAGAATAGAGCGTGGGAAACGGGCTTTTTTGTTCAGACACGATAGGCCAGCATATACAGCCGGGCAGCTTCCCAAGAGTGGAAGCTCGTATTGTGCGGAGCTTCTGCCAGCTGCTGACGTGAGAAATGCGATGTATGTGTGGAGCAGCTACACCCGATTCATTGACCCGCTCCCTTCCCCCCTTAAGCGCCCGTTTCAATGCTGCTGACCCGTTTGGATTTCGCCAATCGGCAGCTCGATAAGTCGCCGGGTTCTGGGTTTACAAACGATGAACTTCACGAGTGAAAGAGTTTAAACATCCGAGACACAAAAAAAAAAAAAAAGACAATAACTTACTTTCATGGTTATTTTGGTAGAAGCTCCCCGCTCTCCCAAACGATGACTGACAGTTAGGCACTTCTGTAAACAAAAGAGGACAGGTGTGTAAAATTAGACCAGAGACATCCTCACTGTTCATATCAAATGTGGAACGCATCAAAGTCCACCTCGCAGCTGACAGATATATTTGGACCGCTGCCACTGTGCGCAGATACGCAGCTTTGCTCGATGTTTACAGAGGAGCCGCTCGGTCCAAGCCCCATCAGCGCGTTAAGTCACGCTGATAAGTATACAGTACAAGTATAAAGAGGTTAAAACACATGGTGGCTGCTTATGTGGGAAAAAAACGGTTGTCATGTTCATCTGCAGCTCCAACAGCTGGGCTTAAAAAATGCCCACTCTCAAACACACACACGCACACACACCACTAGGAGTGGACTAAAGCCCGGCTCAGAGAACACACAACATCAACACAACACAACACACACAACACAACATCCCCCGCATGTCCACCGAGCCTTTAAACGAGATTAGCACCATGGTTGCTGTATTAAATCTCAATGACAATCGAGTTAGGCCAGTCCTCCCCCTGAGGGGTCAAGGCCTGTCTTCCGTTCACAGCAGTGTCTCAGCAGCGCGTACCACCCCCCCCCCCCCCCATCCATTATTCTGTTTCCTGTCTACTGATAAGGCAACCAGAGATCAATCTTGAGCAAGTGTTTCCTCAAGTCTCTGTCTCCTCTTGTCCTCACTTAAGGAAAAGAGTCTGCAGGAAGTCATAGTTATTGCCAAGTCTTAGAGAAAAGGAACAGGGAACCAAAGAATTATTCTAGCAGCGCCCTCTGTCAAATGGTAATAATGATAATGCATGGATTCAAATCACGGCGATATATCTACACAAATTGCTTCGTCATCATCTGCAGACGGCCAACGCGGAGGCAACAGTATGTCCCACATTGGTAACATGCACTTCTTGCATCCAGCCAGAGATGCTAGGCCTCTGTGACGTAGGTATTTAAAAGGCCATAAGAAGCTAAGAGGATTTGTCATTACATCACTGCCCGAGCCAGACGGTCACCCACCAGGCAGAAAAGGAATGACAGGACACGAGTGAGCACGAAAAGATTAGAGAAATAAAAAATAAAAATAAAAAAAGTTGCAGAGTTTCAGGAAAAGAGGGATGTTAATGCATCAGAGCGGGGACAACAGCTGGGCGTGTGGGCGTTGGGATCAAACAATGCACCGCCAAGTCGCTCTGGCTTGTTTGGTTTTAAACGGCACGAGTAAACAGCATCTCCACCATGACTGTTTGATGAGGACCGGCACCATTCGGCCCCGTGTGTACTCGCTAAAACCTCTGAGATGAGAATTTCCAGGCTCTTACGACCGACTTGCTGTGCCGCAGGTCACTAAGTCCTCTGAGGGCTTCTGGCCGAGATCTATTCCAGGTAGGCTCAGTGAAGAGGTTCGCTGCACCTGGCTGGGTGACCCATTTACTTTCTGCCCTTGGAGGCTTAGGCTGAGCTAAAAGACCCACTTTGACTTTATTGGCGTGACTCTGGAGGAACGATGCAGATTAGGCTTTGAGGGGTGTGTGTGTGTGTGTGTGTGTGTGAGAGAAATGAGCACCTGTGCGCTCAGGCCTCTGCTGCATGCTAAAACTTGCAGGCGTGTGTTAGTGCCCAGAACAAACACGGCCACATTCCTCACCCTCTGGCCGCTCTACTTTCACACAGCCCCAGACAATTACTTTCACGCAGCAGAGCTACGGGCTTCCTCGCTCTGCAAGCGCAGGGCAACAGATATGCAGAGAGCCCCCCCACGGGGACGTCTTGAGAGGTAATGGACTCTCCTCGGCTTATTTCACGAACAGCTACTCGTATCCGCTCACCAGAGTCGAAGCAGAAGTCGCGCGGCTCCGGCTTGATGGCCATGAGGTGGAAAGCAGCCTGTCGCGGAGGGCCCGGGGGACCCATGTTGGGGACGCCCTGCTCCGTGTATCGTGGGTCGATGAGCTCTTGCTTGAAGCCCTGGGGCGGCACAGCTACCAGCGGCTCTGACATCTGGCGGTGGTACGGCGGCCGGCCGTCACGTGGCAGACTGTTGTTGCTGCTGCTGCTGGGAGGCTGAGGCAAGAACTGGGGGCGCCCTTGCCTCTCTGACGGGGGGAAAGGTAGACATGGCTCTGACATCTGCCGCTGGAACCTAAAGATGGAGGAGAAAGTGTGAGGTTGTGATCAGAAACACTGCTTCGCTACTTAAAAACACTACGAGGAAAACCCCATGTACACCCAGATTGTGAAGTTGATCTCACCTGTGCTCAGGTGTGAAGTTGTTGGCATCCTGGGGCGCGCAGGGCACGGCGAAGGGGGGGCTGTGGACCGGGAGTACTTGCTGGTTGGGAGAGCCCGCGGTCGGGTTGGAGACGTGGGGGTGAGGCGGGGGTGTGTGCGTTCCTGCCGTGCTGGTGGGGCCGCATGGAGAGACTGGCGTCGAGGGGGGAGTTAATGGCTTGAACCCGGGAGTGGGCTTCCTGTCACAGGCACTGTGGATGAGGAGACGGGGTAACACATAGTCAGAACTTCAGCCGTGGGAGAGATAATCAATATCCAGCGTCGTGCTTGTGACTAGCCGACCACATACCTGTAGCTGTAAAGGCACTTCTCTCCGTAGGGCATGGGACTCCGGTCCTGGCGACAGGGGGAAAACTCTTTGGAGGGAGTCAGCTCTCGTTTGATCTTGGCTGGCGGCGGGCCATGAAACATCACTGGACACAAGGAGACATACGGAGAACACAGTTGAGTGCATTAGATCAACTCCAGATATCGCTCTAATTGAAGCCATAAACAGAAGTGCAGCAGTTATCTTAACCACATTTTGGAACTGATGGATAAATGGACATATGGACAACGTCTGTGTATTCCCTCGACTGACAGAGCCACTTAGCAACCAATTTATCATCCGGCCTAATGACGGCCGACTCCGTGCTCTGAAAAAACAACAATCCGTCCACCACCGCTAGGCAGCAACTGCACTGCACACACACCAAAGGCTATCAAACTTCACGTGTGACTCCCATTAGGGCAGGCCAATAACAATACCCATGAATCAGCATGGCTGTAATCTAATGGCGGTGAATGATTTTCTTCTCCCGCGCTGTAACCATTAGACACTGGCTGCAGCTTTCTGCGCATCGGCTGCAGTTTCCGGGGCGCCACATAATAGCCAGGCAGAAACTAGATCCCTTGGCACAGAAGAGCAGGGGGGGGGGGGGCAAATAAATCACCCAGGCCGCTGATGGACCTAAGCAGAGTTGCACTGGGAAAACCCGATGGCTCGTGACTCGAGAGAAAAGTAAATAAATGAAGAGATTAGGCATCTTTTCTGGATTAACGGACAAGAACTCTACACGCAAACTCCGCCTCCTGCACCATCGGAGCTACAACGTGAGCTCCACGCACCTCCTATGAACTGAGAGAGAGGACGGTCTGCAGCCTGGCAAGAGACGCAAATGGCAAACTCACTTCTCAGTATCACACACACACACACACACTCTCTCTCTCTCTCTCTCTCTCTGACAGCACAAGGTCAAGGACTACGCCACAGCAGCACCTCACAGTTAGCTGACCGTATACAGTAGAAACCGACCTTGGACGGGGCCCTCTTATAAAAATACATACATGTCAATGCATTGACCTCAATTATATACAGTATGTTAGAGCACCAGAGGCTAGTGGTCAGTTTACAGCTCGCTGTGCCACAAAGATTTAACAGGCAGCCCAGGCAATGACACGCAGCCACCACACCCTGTCTCCACCTCCTACGCATCAGACGAATACATAAACTCAGAGAGGCCGAGGGGAGAGGGTGGGGTACAATGCTCCACTGGTCGTAATTCAAACATATCCTCTCAGCTGCAGAAACGAAACAGGAGGCCGTATGGAGAAGTGTGAGGGACGGGGGCGCAGACAGTTTATTTTTTTTGGGGGGGGGGGGGGGGTTATGCTAGTTCAGCACTGAAACAGGGAGCTCTGAAGCTGCCCCCATCCACTGGAATCTAGCCCACTTCAGCAGCAGGGCCCCGAGTGCGGGAAAGTGTGAAATCAGATTAGGGGCTTGGCTCATGTGGTGCCCCATGCCAATCGGTTGATTAAACTCAAAATGGAGGAGAGCGAGAGAGAGAGGGAGGGAGGGAGGATAGCTGCCTTTTACCAGAGCTGTGTTTTAAAGAACGGTGCTCTTCCTCGGCAGGATGGAGCGAAAAAACAAATAAAAGAAGATATAAAAAGAGAGGGGACCTGGACATCTGGTCAGGGACAGTAACTCAAAGCGCTTTCCTCAAAGCCAAAAGAAGAAGCCTGTGTGCTGCTGAAGAACAAGACTGAATGTCTGCCCAAATCAGACAAGAACCAGGCCGAGCTAAAACATCCAAACCGTGACCGGGTGTGACCGATAGAATGCTAATAACACACGCACACACACACATCAGAGAGGAACTATGAAAAACAGGTACTCACAGCTATCCGACTGGAAATCTGGGACAAACTGTTCGTCATCGGGCACCTGGGCTGTGAAGATAGATGTGCAGAATGGAGCACGTGAGAAAAATAGAGCACATAACCATTTTAATCTCTCATGGAAAAGGTGAAACAAGGGGAGAGAAAACTAATCTGCTGGAAACTGGTTTATTGAAAGGCTTAAAAAAAAAAAGAAAAAAAAAAAAAGAGTAACAAAGTATTTTAACAGGAAAAAGGAGAGAAAGCGACTTTTAGACAAATATGGGTCTGTCAGCAGTTTCTCATGCACAGCACTTTGCTCTGCTAACACAAAAACAACAATATTTCACATTCTCTCCAAGTTAATCTTTAATCTTATAACTTGAAAACACTTTAGAAAACAAAGGACTTAAGGAGAAGACATGCGTCTTAAGCAGAACATCATTTTGCATAAAAGCAAATAACAATCCCACTGAAATGATTTTGCAGTGTTTAATAGATGAAGGGCTTTCTATGCCAAGAGGCAGAGCAGCAGAAAACAGTGGCAAAGATGTACAAACAATAAGATTTACCTTCTGCAATCCAGATCTCTTGCAGCTGACTGAGGTCTTGGAAGAGATCTGAAAGTGAAGAAATAGAAAGACATTGAGTGTTGGTCGCCACCACTTATCACTGAAAGATCACCGGTCACGTCCAGCAGCATTACCTTCCGTGTCCTGGGCCAGTTCTGTGTCCACAAACTTCCTTTTCCTGTCGATCAGAGGCCTGCTGTGTGACGGTTCGTCCACGTGAGACTTGTGCTGTAGGGAGGGAGAAGAAGAAGAAGAAACGTCAACAGGAGACGTCACAAGTGTTTTGGGAATGTACAGTGATCTATGGCGACCGCAAGGAGGTCCATCCATAGCATAGAGGCGTGGGGTGGACAGTGTGAGTATGGGATGTGTCCACTTACACTGGGTGGGACCATAAATGGAACCTGCTGGTCATAGAATCCGTCCATGTTATCTCTGTGATTTGGGGGGTGGTGGTGGTGGGGGGGGGGGGGGGGGGCCCCATTTTGGGGGGGGGGAGGGGGAGGTGTTCGCTTTAAAGCGACAGCGCACGGGGTCACGTTGTGGGTCACTGGAAAAAAAAAAAACACAAGATTGGAAACAAGTCAATAAAACTGTGAGGACATGTGGGCACATTTATTTTGTTTTCCCCACTTGTCTGGGTCAAAGCGATTGGGATTCACTTAATTTTTTTGGAGGCCATACTGGGTGTTATTATCCCCCTGCGTCCAAATCAGACGCTGTAACAAGGCCACCATCTTGCTATTTAACCAACAAACTCTTAAACCGAGCCATGCAGCGTGCTGGGAACTGCAGCACAATGTAAACACAAGTCATTATGGAGCACACTTATATAAGCCAGGCTCACTGGCCATCTGTAGGGCACTACTCTCCACTATAGTCAGCAAAAAGGAGCCTAAAAACAGCATCCCACTCTTTACAGTGTGTCTAATGGTCTGTGTAGAAAGTCTTAGAGCTGACCAGCGTCTTCTAGAGGCTCAGACCTGCTGCTATGAAGTCAGACACACTCCTGTAACAAATAAAGTTCCCTTTAATGTGACAACAACAAAGGGCTAAGCCGAATCCCTCTATTCTCACATCTCCCTCAGCAGAGTGATGTGAGTCACTCCTCCATCTCCAGTTAATGGATGACGAATGCAGAACGCTGCAGGGCAATCATTACGTGCGTGCCAAGCACTTATTACATTACAACTAACTGTACACGCGGATGGTTACAAAGCACATCAATCAAGAGCAAGAAGGAAGTTGGTAATATATTCTTTTCTATGTGGTTAAAATAATAAAACAGTAAAACATGTAGCTGCATAATTGAAGACTTTACATGCATTTGAGAAAAAGTTATTTAATTAACTTTTTATTGGGGGGGGACAACTATAGTGATATAAAAACAGAATGGGTGGTATAGTCCCTAAATGCACCAAAAACTAGGCAGAGTTTACCACCACAGTGGTTGTTTTGAAAAAAAAAAGAAAAGTAAACAGACAAACTTGTTTACTGAGTAATTCACACCAACTTTCATCAGTGAGCAAACGCATCAAAATCAGCTGATTTTTGGCCGAAGTTCTGCGTGTCAGCGGTGGCTTGGAGGGAGGGGGTGGGGGGGTCGGTGCCCCCACCACCACCACCACCACCACCCTCTACTCCTCCTCCCCGCCCTTCCCCCACCCATCCCTCCCTTGTTTTTCTCAATGAAGTGAAACTCGACCCGTGTGGAAACACAGAGGAGAAGAAAAAAAAAAAAAAATCTCGTCCATTCACAAAAATAAAATTCACAAACAGTCTCCTGACCGCACTGACTAAAGTTAAAGCCATTATGCACGCAGATAAACGCAAATATCTTTAATATCTTTAAATAAGACGCTCGTTTGCGTGGTCTAAAAGAGCGTTAGAACATCTAGCCATAACAGCGCTGCATGAAAGCAAGTTTTTTTACAGAAATAAATATTGCACCTTACCTTGTATGTGTGTATATACGTCCTCTATATCGAAATATTACGGTAATAATATCCACAAATACCCCAAAAACAACGTGTCGACAGCGGTGTAGTCGTGTGCGCACTGATACACTGTAACTGTGCAACTGCCCTCTTCGACTCACAAAACTTGACTGAGCTCTCGGTTAATGGCCCGGTCGGTTTTTTCCCCCTAGGCTCGAGCGGCAACGGCAGAGACGCGCGCTGATTGGCGGAGCGACGCTGTCAGTTAACGCAAGCAGCCAATGGCGTCTCAGGGGCTGATTAATCATGCATGAGGATCCGGTTTGGCCAATCACAGCGCAGCAGAAGCCTATTTTTATGAATGGCTTGATTTCATTCACATTTTTTTCACCCTTCAGTGCCGTGACAGAGTTTGTTAAAGGGCCAGCTGCGGGGAAAACATACTAAAGATCGACACAGAGCTGTACAGTGGGCTGCTGGGGCAAACGTCAGTGTCACGTTGACTTTCCCTGGACTCTAAAATTACATTATTACACTGTGAGAACAAATTGGATTTAAACTGTGCCACTGGCATTGAAACACTGCATAATTAAGAACAAAGTTAAAGTTCGTTTTAGCAGTATAGTAATGTAACCGATTTGTGTTTCGGGAGAGTGATATGCAAAATGACAAAGAAGGGAAAAGTATTTCAAGTAAATGATAGATATTAATATGATCATAGAAATTACAGAAGTTAAATACCTAAAATCTTATATAGCACCTGCATCTAAAATATCAATTATCAAGCATTACTGGTATTCTTTAAATGCTTACATTTTAGTTGTTTGTTCTCTTTCTTTTAATATTTAAGTATTACGTAAATAACAATAATTAACTTCCATCAGCAATTATATTTGCACACAATCTGATCAGGTTTATTTAGGAGACGTATTTGCTAAAGAGGAAAAGAGGTGATGATGAGGTTAGTTAATCTGTTTGTCACCTTGGTTCAGAGCAAGAAGTCTTTAGACAAGCATTGGTCCAATCAGCACATAATAAATACATTTATTGACCCAGAGGATAATGATTCACTTTGATAAAAGTCTTTATTTCCTTTTTATTATTTGGATTTTTCACACTGTATTCATTCATTAAAATGTGTATTCACTGCATGCATTTTATTTTACAACATCAAGGTCTAAATCTTTGTGGGGAAATCGCAAATCCTCCTTTTTGGAGGGCCAGAAGTACACACAATTATTTATATTGAGTCTAAAAATAGTGGAATCAGCATATAAAATGATCTCCCAACATGTGTTACATTTAAAATGTGTGTAATTTAAGTTAATACTCAGAGCATGGCCTCTTCAATACCTATCACCACCTCTTTGGTCCATAATAAAGTATCCCCTTTCCGCTTCAAACGGTCAATTTAAGACCTACTACTGACGAGGCTCACAGTAAAGCAACATGGCCACTATGTTGTTCAACTTATCAAACAATGTTGGCGATCTGTAAAACTAAAACGACGGTTCTTCAATTGTAATCATTTTCCTTCACCCCCCAAAGTTAAAGTTTTAAAATAGCAAACCCAAAAAGTTTCCAAGTTGACCGAAAAAAAAGACATCATGACTTTGCGATGCTCACAAAAATGTGTGTGTGTGCGTGTGTATGTGTGTGTGTGTGTGTGAAGGAACGGCTGTTGGAGCCCCAAAGGTTAGAGGTCATGAATAAATAACCTTTGTAATTATCACCTCGAGTCAGCAAATTAGGAATCCCTTCATATAAACTCTGTGCCACTGCGCACACAGATACCAGCAGCTGGTACGAAAAACCATAATCCCCAGCAAATCCCTGCAGCCGTGACGTGGATGTTGTGAGCTTGCTACGGAGAAAAGGCAAACACACATGTAGTTGTGACATCGGTCTTACAGAGCTATCTTTGTTGGTCGTCCCACAGGTCGAGGGCCAAAGGCAAACGGCTCGTCTTTCAGGATATAAACTCCACTTGGAGATGTAAAGGCGCTGAAAAAATGTGGAGGTGAAAGAGGGCTTAAAAATATCCCCTGTCAAATTCAATCGCACAAGTGCGTGAAGCATTAAATAGCAGAGGACATATCTCAAAAAGCAACAGCCTGCAGGTCCACCGTACGGCTGCACCTCTGCGTTGGGGCGGATGTGGTGGGTGGTCACTTGGAGGCGTGTGGAGAGTGAGCACATTGTGTTGCTGTTCTTACTCTTTCCTTAAATAAATGTGCCATATGCAAAGGGTGACATGCTGCTTGTGTACATACCTCTCTCTTTCTCCTCTCTCTCTCTCTGGATGAGTGTGGGCGTTTGTGAAGGGAGGGCAAGATTTAAAGCGCTAACCTACACTACTTGTAGGTTAGTGTGACACTGGCATTACAAGCCAGGTCAGCGGTGCTGCCAGTGGACGCAATGTGAGCTAATCCCGCTCCTGAGAAACCTTCACTCAACCAGGTGATGACGCCACAAAAACCCAAAGCCTGGAACAGCTCAACCAGGATCCTTCGTGTTCGTGTGCGCGGCGCTCTTTACTGGGCCGACAATCGGACACAGATTTGAGGTTCAAAGTAAATTTTTGACCTCGGAAACGTTCAGGGTGTAGTTCCCCTGAGTTCCTTTTTAAAAAGTTCAAAGTATTTTGTTGATACGAGTGACAGCAGAACAACTACAAGGCCCGTGTAGTGAATCTCAATTTGAACATCTAATATTGAATTTGTATTCATGCAATACGGTCATAAAACTCCTACTAAACAAACCTCATGGTTAGACTGTTTTCTGCTGTTTTTGTTAATCTACAATACACAAACTAAACATGTAAATATGAACACGGAGCCTTTTTTTCTTTAAAGAATTGAAACTCTTTTATATTCATAGTCCTTAGTCCATCAGTGAGCCCGACCTTTAGTCCCAACACAGCCGAAAATACCCGCCGCTGCGATGAAGCTCAAGTGGGTGAGAGCATTGCAATCAAGAGTCCTGGCAGTCTGTCCTAGCTTGTCTGTCAAAATGCACATTTCCAAAAGAGTTAAAATGGGGGAAGTAGTGCCTCTGGGCGCAGAATGCTCTCTCACTGAGGGACAAGATGTGACTTGCCTGCTATTAATAGCACTTTGGGAGATAATTCCTGCCTTGTTATCTTAGCAGCCGTACTCAAGAAGCGTCGCCAAAGGCAGGCTCTCTTCTGAGGCTCCGAGTTGTATAACCACGCTTTCTTTTATTATCTCTCCCTCTTGTCTCTCTCTCCCATTCTCAATTCAATGCTTCCATCTTCTTTTGACATTTTTCTCTTTTCATCTTTCGTTCTCTCGCTGTGCTTTTACTGGCGTCTGTAAGAAGCTACCGGGCCGCAGATCAGACGGCCAAAAGGGCAAAAAGATAACGAGGAGCTACAAAACCTTCAATTTGTTCTTTTGGAATTAAGGGATTTCTCTGACTGTTTCCTCTTGAACTCAACGAGACAAAACACACCTGAAACCACGCTAGCAGCTCTGTGCGCTAAATGCTAACCATGACAATGCTTGTATTTTGGTGTTTAGCTGCTCCGATGTTTGCCGGCACCATTTAGTGTAGTGTGCTAGCATGCTACCATTCTTTACTTAGTGTTTTAGTGTTAGTACAGCTGAAAAGTATCATTCATTTTGCAGGTTTTTGGTCATAAACCAAAGTATTGGACACATTTTAAGCTGATAATGTCGCTAGAGGAAAAGTTCATTCATCCTGCGGCAAAAACTACTGAGCTAATATCTTAAATATTTATAGTAAGGGGAGTAAAAAGCAATAAGGACACAAACAACAGTACAGCTACAAATTATTCTGGAGTTTATTCTATTTTTAATAGAGGGCTTTCATTATTGTTATTTTTAACAATAACAGGTAACTTCAGCATTTTTCAATCTGGAAGCTATTTTCCCATGGTGTTATGTCTCAGTGACTAATGGAAACAATGTGATTAACAATGTGATCACTCGGGGAACTCCTCACCATCAATGCACTGACAGGCTCAGAGTGTTATTATAAGTGTCTGACAACATCATGAAAAGAACCCGACAGAGCCTTTCTTTACCCTTTGCTTTCTGTGTGTTGTTGCGTCACGTGACTTGTTGCCACAAGAAAATGATGAAAACATGAGTCAGAGTTGGAGAGTTTGTCGTGTTAGAGCAGAGAAAGCGTAGCTTAGTGTTATCTAAAATATTTCCAACGTCATGCTGAATATTTAGCTGATTTTCAGAAGGAGACTTCTCAAAATGAGACACACAATAACAAACAGACCGGATCAAGTGAAAGATAAAAAACAAAAGGTGATATTTCTCTGTAGGATTCTTTCCACAATGTTGTCAGACACTTATAATAACAATCTGAGCCTGTCAGTGGCAGAAACGAGCACTTTTAGTGGACGTACATTGACGGTGCTGCTGCTTTTGTTTCACAGGATTGCATTACCTGATATAGTTAGATGTTGTTTTGGTTGACCTGAACTCTGAAGAGTTCCTTCTTCAAACCATTATCTCATCGTTTGTTCATTCTCATCACAGATTTCCTCTCAGTCTCCATCGGACTGTTTAATGTCATCAGTGACTCACGGTTGTCGTTGGATGTATTTGTCTTTAAATGATTCATGAAGATAAATAAATCAGGTTCCTGTCTTTATCAGGCACCATGCAACACATTCGGATGAACTCACCAGTGAATTAATATATGTTTGTAAAAGCAGAAGTACTGTATGGAGTTCAAAGGCCAAATCCAATCACCTTAAATCCAAGAGTGTCATTTGATGATGTGAATTTAGACGAAAAGAAAAAGCGACAACATTCATTTTCTATCACCTCTGTTTATTTGGTAAAATGTTTCGTCCATGAAAATGCCAACAAACAGTGAGGGAGACGTACTGTACAGACAGACACGGGGCAGACTGCAGAGGCTGGATATATTGATTTTTCAACCCCTTTCATCTAATCAGGTCCTGGACTACGCAGGGGGGTGGCGGTCTGTCCTTGACCCTCTGTGGGCTGAAAGTCCCCCACCACCACACTGACCCCCGAGGGGGAACAGAAGGCTCACATCACAGACGTATAATTCATAAATTTGATAACTTGATTAAATGTCATCTTGGTTACACACAGGAGGTTGTTTTTATTTCTACTCTGTAATAATCCCCTAATGCTGTGTGATGACGTTGCTATCATGATATGTAATATGGGATCTGTGATCCGCTCTGTAAACTCTATTTCTACGATCTGATGATTTAATGTACATGTAGAGCAGCAACACGCTGCAGGGGCTGTGCTGTATCTGTGCTTCTGATGTCACTCAGTGCCGCTAATCTGTCCCAGGACGAGATCTGGATCACAATAGTTAGGACTGTAGAGCCATTTCTGCCTCGGAGGGGGGGGGGCTCTGATAGTTCCGAGTCACAGTCATGTGTTTTCATCTGCTTCCACACAGGGGAAGCAGATGAAAACACATGACTGTGACTCGGTTGACGAATATAAGTGCTGCTAATTAATAGTGTCCATCAGGGGGCGACTCCTCTGGTTGTATAGAAGTCTATGAGAAAATGACTCTACTTCTCTCTTGATTTATTACCTCAGTAAACATTGTAAACATGAGTTTATGGTCTCAATCTCTAGTTTCAAGTCTTCTTCAATACAGCATGATGTTCATTTAGTACATTATGGTCCATTTAGCGTCAAACAGACCATAAAGCAGGGGATGCTTTACGGCGGGGCTTACTGTGATTGACAGGTGGCTACCGCTAACAGAGCCGTATACGACGTCTGTACGTTACTTCTCTTCGGTCTAAATATGTTCCCTCTGTTGTCCCTAAAGGTTGCAGATTGATTGATTGATTGATTGATGGATGTCATGATATTATTGGTTGAAATATGTTGGTAATGGCTTCAGTAAGCCCACTTCATATTTTGTTTTACAGACAGAAAAGATAATTTGATTTTATCATTAGGTGCATTTGGGTTTAATTATGATGACTTAAGCTTCCCACTGCTTCCAGTCTTTATGCTAAGCTAAGCTAATTGCCTCCCAGCTTCCGGTCTGCGTACGCACTGACATGACAGCGGTATCATCTTTTAATTAATTAATTAGTTAAAATATTTCCCAGAATGTCAAACTATTCCTTTAAGGGAGAAATCTACCAGAAATGTATTAAATCTGGTGTATGTGTGGCATTCCTGGTTATTTTTTCTTGAGTAGTTTTTCTTTTCTTCTAATGAATAATATGACTGATGAGATATTTCCAGTGTGACTACAATATTCTTCATTTGACAGAGACAGAATCATCACTGTGAGGCAGGTTTTAGTCCAAGGACTGCTCTCCTGAGTCATCACTTTGAGCTTTAAGAGTCATACAAGGAGAAACCAGAGATGCAGGGAAACCAACTTTTCCACCAACAGCAGCTTGAGTCGACTAGAGAGTCATGTGTTTTGTAAAAGGTTTTCTTTTCTTCTTCAACAGGAAACCTGCCCGGTAACTAAACATAGAGCCGGTGGCTGAATGTGACAAGCTTGCTGTCACTTTACTGAGAGTTGCCAAACATCTTTCACAAAACCAAACCAAAAATCTCAAACGGAAGAAAAAGTTAACCAGTGTGATAAACTTAGGCGTCCACGGCTGGAGTTTTCTTTACCTTTCACTGAACTTGGTGAACAATATCGGCCTTTTGAATGTTTTGACATCTGGTCAGTTATCAAATATCCAAAATGTAGTAAAACAGAATATAGGATAAGGCTGGTAATATTCTATATTTTTATTATTGCGAACAAATCCCATGAAAGCACCAAAACCAACAAGTATTGCACGTGTAGCAAAGCCTTAAACAGATTAATCTTTACTACTTTTTGTCCAATGAGCTATAAAAACATGAGTGAGCCACAGCGTTGCACTGGGTGACATGTCGCTGCTTTTCAATAAACAGCGGTGCTGTAGTTTTTGAGTCAATCCCACTTACACCTTTCTGCAGCCGCATGTGTATCAATCCGCTGCGGAAAAATAGTCCCCAACAAATTTACCCTTACTCCAATTTTAACATTTTTTGCGAAAAATCTGCAGTGCCCATCTGTTTAAGGACATCACAGAGCCGTAACAAAATAAATAAATATATGTGACCTATTTATTTTCTTTTTAGATTTAAGTATTCAGAACAAACGGGCTAGTAGTGAGTGCCACAGACAGGGTAACACATTGTTGGCTTTTGTCTCATTTCATGGGTTTTGTCGCTTTATCTTTAAAGAGAACTTGCTTCAGGAAACTCAGCCTGCAGATAAAGATGGACACAGATATCATCCCTCCCTGTTTGATAATATAGGTCAACTCAGTTGCAGCAAATCATACCATTACTATGATGGTAACTAACCTCTGCTGCTAACTGAAGGTTATGACACAGAAATCACTACCCTGGGTTGCCAAATATTGACAGAATAGTCTGCGATGTGCTCGTCTAAATGCGATGGGCCAGCTGTTGACAGTCATTTCTAGGGCAATGTGTTGCAACAAATAATCATCCTTTCTTTGCGATTGAATGATTTACTTTTCATCCCGTGTGAGCACCGTGCAGAGCTGTGAGCACAGAGCGGATCCATTTATTTGTTAAGGCAATTGATTACTTGAAAGGACAGCAATAGACATGGATTGTGACACGTATTGGAAATTTGTTCGTGTCGCTGCCCTTTGATTCCACAGTAAATCACAAATGGATGTTGTAATGGTGGAAACTTCATCTGGGAATTCTACTTTCGGTTCTTTTTAATGTAACCAGACGGCTTCTCCCGCGCCTTTTCTTGCACATGATTCTAAATCTAAACGTGCTGCTGTCAAAAAAAATAAAATAAAAAAATAAAACCACAACAAATAAATATATCAGATAAATGTAATTTTTAAGCAAAGAAATAAGTTTGAATAGTCTGATCCACACTCTCCTCTTTGTTCACTCTCCTTTTGTTTCAGCAGGCATGCGGTGATGTAAGTCAACCTCAGCTAAAATATTATAAACAAATATATACACTTGGTAATATAGCTGTCTAAAACAATTCTCTCAATAAATGTAAAGTTACTGTAAACATGCACTCTTTTCCCACCGAGTTCTCTCGCCACCCAGGCTCCGTTGGGCACAACTACAAATGAAGGAGAAAATGATGTGCTGTACTTCTTGTCTTGTGGCGCTCCCACACTGCTGCAATGCCAGTTATGTCCAATGGCTTTTAATTGGTGTATATTCAAACATAAACCATTGAGATGGATGACAGTGACACATGGCTAACCTGAACTAGTTGATGATTGGAGGAACACAAACTCACACCTGAGTGGGGGTGAATATCTACAGCGTATGAGGACACATCCTGTTTTCATGGGGCCTGGGTGCAAGAGTAATGACTCAGTGCATTTTAAAGGGAAGTAGGGTATAAAGGCTTCAAAAGCCCGACCCTACAGTGGAGCTCAGTTTGTACCATCAGAACATCCCAGCAGTCTCCCTCCGCCCTCCGCCCTGCACTTACATCTCAGCAGGGTGCAAGGCAGTTTCCCACTCACGTCTAACTCACATCACGTATGGATCATTCGAGTTTTAACATTCACACATTCACATTCTCTTTGAGAATCTCGTCAGTAATTTTCTCGAGCATTAAAAGTTCATCCTTGACTTTATGGTAAACTGTGTGTGACGAAATATTCTCATTACCCACAACCTTTTTCTGAGGTCATTTTGATTTTTTTGTAATTTTGCTTTGTTGCTCCCGTGTCTTCTACAAGCAAGGAAGAAGCCAAGCCGGGGAGAGAAGTTGATGCAACACTCAACCGAAACCTCAAACAATGGGAATTAGACAAAGTGGAAAAACTGCCTTCAGAGAGCGACTGCAGCAACTCTGTACGGCGAAGAATACTGATCTGAACTCCTCTAAGCTAAGATTTCCACATTAATAACAATGATATATTGAAACACATTTGTGTGTACAGTATTTGTGAGCTACTCTGCTACTTTCCAGATATACACATATACTCTTTCAGCACACACTACTATACGTAATTTGCCATATTGAGGGGACAGTAATATGGATACATTCTTTATAAACACTGAACTATAAGCTCTCTGGCCAACAGCGTCTGACTGTCATATCTGTCTTCCATCAAACACAATCACATCTTTATTTAGTATAGATAAATCAATGCATTAAAGCAGTAGGGGCAGGCTCTGGGATTTGCACTCTGACAGCACAGTTGACATTGTGAGTTGATGTTTGACACAGTAATTAGGCGTAGGGTTTCACTGGAGGATAGACCCTCCCTGAAATAGAGGGATAAATTTAGTTCCCTGTCAATGCTCTGGTAAATAAAAACCCCGTGGGCCCTGCTGTTATACCCTTGAGCGGACTTATTTCAATCCTTGACCCACTAAAATTGTCCTATGGCATACGGTACACAGGAGCTGTTGGATGGTAGTGTCAATCCTCGGTTGTGCTGCCAAATGGATGCGTACACGGACAGGTGCGGACATCTCGGACACGCAGTAGTCCTGTTCGCTTGGGAGACGCACTCCACACATGCTCACAATAGTCACAACAAATTGCCGATACGAGGTCGTCCATCAACACGTACACCCTCTGATGACGGAACTAGTTTCTTAAACTTACTACAAGGAACTTTCATTCTGTGTTAATTCTGGCGGCCCCTGTGGACAAAAGCAGAAGTGCTTCCATGAGCACCCACCGCTTTGTGTCGAAAAGATGCAGCTGCCGGACCTCCTTTTACTGCAGCAGGGGTCTGACAGTGTGCCCCCCCGCGCAGTCCTGGTTCTTGTACTCCCGTGCCTCCCTTCTCTCCAGCGGACCCAGCAGTACGGCCTTGGCCAGCAGCGAGGTGTTGACGTTGCCTCCCGCCATCCCAGTGTTGAGCGAAGCCGGATTTAGGTCTGGTCGCTGGAGTCTGAGCTGAAGACATTTCTGGTGAACCTGCATGCTGAAGAACATTTTGTCTGATGTTGTGAGGATTTGGACCTGATGGCAGGCATCAAGAATAACGATGTAGAAAGGGCCAGTCCTCTGGCTGATGGTCTTGTTTGCTTATGTAGGTCATATAGGGGCATCAGTATTACACTGAGTCTGTCTATTACACCGTTAAAAGTTCCTTGTAGTAACTTAAAGAAAGCTCCACTCTCTACCTAGACTCAATTTCTACAGTGATGACTGTGCACAGTTGGACAGGAACTTCCTCTGCCTGAAGTCTACCGCCAGATCATCGACACGGTTTGTAAATATGATTTAAAGGATCTGTTTTTGTAGGCCAGTGATGCTAAGGGGCCCAAAAAAATCCCTGCATGTTTCAAACCATTCCAGGCCACTGTTACGCCCCCACTGCCGTCAACCCACAAACAAAACAAGTCAATAATGGATGAGGCTTTTCCTCTACCGTGCTGTCAGTCTGTGGGGAGGCCCCCGGAGCTTGTGCTCTTACAAGCAACCACTGTTTCATTATTCATACAGGTGTTTTCACGAAGAGGCGGATCTTACTCTCTATTTACTCACCGGCCTTGTAAACAACCACGATTACTGCCACACCGCTCTCTCTTTTTTTTCTTTACCTCCTTCTCTTTCTCACTGTAGTGTGTTGAGAGATCTTTCGTTCTCATAGGACTACCCGCCCTCTTTAACCTTCCTTCCCCTCACGATCGCTTTCTGTACTTTGTTCAAGGGCTGCTATGGAATCCCGGCAGCCATAGTTGAGTTTGGGCAGTGCGCTACTTGCACATCGCTGAGTTTTTCGGGCAGGTTTTGGGGCGGTGTGGGCTGAGAGACTTGGCTTTTGAAACTTTAAATCCATGGCTGAGACGGAGGTTTGGGGACGAGACTAGAGGACGACGGTTACACAGGAATAGGTCGGTACTGTTTACTGAGAGTCTTTTCATTTTGGGTGCCATCACTGCAGGTTCCTTTGGGGAAAAAACAGTGGGTGGCATGTATATATGTGTGTACTGTGTCTGTGTCTGTCTTTGCGTGCATGCACGTGTCCTAGTCGCGGCTCCGGTTACGTCTCTTGAAGAAAAAGAACGGTGTCTTCTGAGGCGGACCCAGTAAAATGGGGACCTGGTTCATGTGTGTGATCCTGATCTGTAAGAATCAGACAGAGAAGGACAAAGTGAGGATACAAGGTTTGTGCAGCAAAGTGTTCTCAATCTCTTATTTTGACGAATTCACCAAGTTGATAGTCATCACTTCCTGGCTCTTCACAACACACTGTTATAAAATCACTCACTCAACCTTGAAAATTACCTACATAACAGAACAAAAAGTGTTCTATCTTCTGCCTCCATGAAGGCCAACTATGACTCAATGAAAAGTGGTTGAAAATGGCGTGAGGAAGAATAGATAGATTTCCTCCTTTTCTATGAAGAGTAAAGTCGGACTGTGATATTTGATCGCATGATTGTGTTGGAGGTTGAGGCTGGGGGTGTGTGGAGGAGGAAGATGAACAAAAGATCAAGGACGTGAGCCAAGACGAGACAAAAGCTGAATGACACTCATCTTGGTCCAGCCTACAGCTGTCATGGATAAGAAGCTGGGATGCTTTATGCCACATTGGTACGTCGCTGGACAACATGACTCGCTCATTTCTTTTCAGTTTTCCAGGCTACAAGCGAGCCGAGTAGATTCTACAACGTGGAGTTAAAATACTGCAGACCTCTGATGGTCAGAGAGATGTAAGCTCACAAAACTACACTGCACAATTGACGTTTGGTTGCCGATGAAAGGAGTCAAGAATCTCGTCAACACCGAAGGGGTACTATCAACAAAACAAAACTGAAACCCGTGCAATCACGCAGTGAAGGGGTCTTTGAATTTGATGACATGCTGTGAATGAGAATGAGAATCCCTATCTTAGTACAATTTCCAATGATTCTCATTTAACTCTCACCGTGCAGGGGGGCTGCATCCAGGGCTCCCCATCGATCTGCATCGGCAGCCGCCGGGACGTCCTATGAAGAGAGAGCAGAAGGATGAGCAAGAGAGGTGGGGGGAGGGCAAGAAAGAGAGAGAGAAAGAGAGAGAGAGAGAGAGAGAGAGAAGGGGAGGACAGGGTGGGGTTGGAGGTTGTGAAGGTCAGATCACACACACCTCTGAGGCACGAGATGCCTGTTCATACTGCCCCAGGACAGGGTCAAACACTGCACCCTTTGTTCCCATGAGAGCCATTCCCAGACTGGCCCCCACTCTTTAAACTCACAGACCCACTGTATATGTACACACACACACACAAGCACACACACACACACAAGCACACACACACATTCAAAGTTGGTTTAAGACTTTCATGCATGCCTCTCCGGCTACAGAAACACAGCATGGGAGAATGACTGTGATGAATGCTCTTTTTAATCTGGTCTAGGAAAGTATTCGGGGCAGTTTGCAGAACAACTTGTAAATGTCACTTCTTTGGTACAGTAACTGGCTCACTGTAGATGTCAAATGGGCTGAAACAAAAAACACTTTATTTGAAAAAAATGTGCCAGATCCAAAAAGAGTGCATTTGAATGTTTGAAATCAAATACTTATATCCAAATCTATTTTTTCCCCCATATATAGGTCAGCTTTCAACATTTATACGTAGATCTGAGAACGGATAAGAGAGTCTTTAGCATCAATATAAAACTATAGTGTACATATAGTGTACACAGACATTTCTTATCCTGTGATGTGTGACTCACTTAGTAAAGTATGCATTTATAAAATATATAATTGATGTTATTGGTTGGATGCTGCAGGAATTGTAGACTTCAAAAACACTCAAGAGGAATACATTTTTGATCATGTGTTGAATGGGGATGGATGCATTCTGTGCAGAAAGTACAGCTTCCAATTGGTTGGCCAGAAGGAAGATGAAGGAAGGGGAGGGTATCGTGACACAAGGCAGACAAAGGGAAAGATGGAGAACAGAGATCACAAGACGAGGAGGATGGAGTAACACAGAGGAAGACTTGAGGTTCTGACCTGATGGTGACGTTGGCACACTGAGCCAGTCTGCGTCCGGCACTCTTCAGTCCAGTGTAGATCTGTCCCATCTCTATCGCCCCTTCTAGGCCAACAACCTCCACCAGCTGGTCACTGAAGTCTGGATGGAGAGAGACAATGAAACAGAGATATGTTACGTATAGTTATAGGCTCTTTGCTTAACCTAACTCAAAAATAGAGACACAAGAGAAGTTCATTATTTACACTGGAAACACGTTTTTTCACAGAAGTCTGCCGTTTGCTGCATAGCAGGTTCTACAGCCTTTTCTTCTGAAACTCATGAAGTGTAGTAGTGGCGCACAGGCAAACGCCTTCCCAAGCCGTCAAACATGGCACATCGGTCATTGGCCTATGCGTCAAACTATGAAGCTCTGCGTGGCCGTAGCATACGCAGGACTGTCACCCAGTATACCGATGTTCATGTGAAACCACAAGTCACCGTTGATTCATTTCAAGCTACGTACGTAAGTTAACTAATGTAACATTAGTGGTGAGAGTGAACCGAAACGGTAGAATTGTGGGCCGGATAAATGAACTAAAACCCAAAATATAGCTCTGTGAAGCTGAGCGGAGCCGCTTGATCAGCTGATAATTCTCTTTAGCTTCATCACTACGAGCAACCTTTTTCCACAGTGTCGTAGTAGTAGAGTGGGACGTTCACCATGTTAAAATGGAGAACAATACAAGTTCAATGTGACTATGAGATCATCAAACCTATTAGTAGCCTCCCTGTAATCTTTTAATCTATGAATTCCCCTTTGTGTTCTCTCTCCGTTTGAAAAGTGCGATGCCTACTAGTCCGTATTTACAGACATGATCTTAAAGGTCAGCGATGATGTTATTTGACATTTCCCCTTCAATGCACTTTAGCTCATAAGAAACATAATATGATTGAGAGTTTGTGTGTGTGTTGCATGGCTCCGGCAGCTTCACAGGTTTTTTACAAATGAAATCTGAGAAATGTTTCGTCTTCGCAGCCGGTGTGATAATTTGTGAGGTGCTACAGCAGAATCAAATCTCATGCCCGCTCATGCAACTGTGTCGGTGGCAACTCATCTACAGTAATTAACTTTGGCCGTGTCCAAACATGGTAACAGGAACTAAGCTGGAGGAGCTGACCGGGCAGATATTCTAAGCTTTTATTGTTGTTTTAATGTCTATAGGTATGACTAGATGTTCTCTTCGTTCTTATTGTGTTCATTCTGATTATTGGACAATATGTTCTGGTGTTACACACAAAAATAGCTCGGACGTGAGTCAAACCTCTGCCTCTGTAACCCGTTCTCCGTGGCTGATCATTCAGGTAAGTGCGGCGCTCTGACAGTTGATTTAATTGATTCAGGGCGGCCGCCAGCTGAACACCTAAATATATTCCAGTTCTTCTTCTGAACACCTAAATATATTCCAGTTCTTCTTCTGAACACCTAAATATATTCCAGTTCTTTTATCAAGCTCGCAAAAAAAACAACAACTGGGTTTTCTCAATCATAGGCCTCTTAAAATGTCAAAGAAAGACTCTGAAAGCTCCCGTCCATTAAATCCCCAAAGTGTGACCACTTTTCTCATGATTACATGTTCCTAATGTTAATGCCGGGCAGAAAATATCAGAAAGAATAAGAGTCTGTTAAAGGCTCGAGCAGAGTTTACTTTAGTGCAAGAAGAGAAAAAAGAAGTTTGTGAGAGGCACTCAAGGGAAACCGTTTAAACCGTTCCTCAAGGGTCTCAATCCTCAGACAAGCTCCGACTGGCGGCGCTGCCTGCTGGGACCGGAGCCTCAGGCCGCAGGTCTGTCCGTCTGTTACAGTGTAAACAACGTTAACAATTTCCCAACGTCGTCAGTCTTCGCTCGCCCTGTTTGGCTTCGTTTCAAGCTACAAACAGGAAACAGTTGCATATTTCTGTTTTTTTTTGCCTGATGCAACACGAGGCCTGGGGGCAAGGCTGACTCATGACTTTTCACGCTCTGAAGGATTTAAGACAAAAAAAAAAGGTAAATATTGTGACACAAGTACAGAGAATTCGTTTCGCCTATTCCTTGAATAAACTCCTGTCTGCACTGTATCTGTTGGAAACACATTTCGTGTGGTTTCCAACATTAAAAGGTATCTCTCGGTTAATTTCAGAGAACTGCGTGTTCCATCTCTCCGTCAGTTGTTCTCGCTGTGGCCTTTAAGAAGTGCTGCCATTTTCTGTGCATATAGAGTAGCTTCAAAAGAGGATTGAGGTTTGTATGGGAATGAATTTGCCGCAGCTGAGTCACTGGCACTCTCTTTAATATTTCAGATGACAATTTAAAAGAAAATGTCAGAGCAGAGTAAGGAACAAACATTTTAAAATCATACGTCAGTCCGTCAGTAAGAGTGAAACGCTCGGGGCTCACGCGTCAGTGCAGACGTGCTCGTTAGGATGAGAAATACACCGCAGCAACTTGAGATGCATTACATGAAAACATGTGCATTAATATCAAAAGGTTCAGTTCTGGTTACTTTGATGTTGGCATTATTAGAGTTATAGTTGGTATTGTGATGAATATTGATTTAAGATTTAAGATCTAAATGCTGTTTCAAAGCTTTTTTTAACACATACAACTGTAGATCATTTATTCTATAAATTAAAGTTTAATTGTAGACTTTCAATCTGTAATAACTGTCTATTTGGGCATGGGGCAATCAAACAAAAAATGTGAATACAACATTGACACCTTTTGTGTTAAGGGAAACTTGTTAGACTACCTGATGAATGTAAGTCTAATATTCACTCTCTTTGAGCTCTGTTTTTGGTCTCTACAGATATCTGATTCTTCAGAGGGTGAATTATAACAGATGAGTTATGGGCTGTCAAACCAAAACACTGAGCTGAGATGAGCTGCAGAGTTAAAGGGATAGTTCAGGTCTTTTGAAGGGGGGTTGTGTGAGTCACTTATCCATAGTCAGTGTATTACTTTCAGTAGATGGTGGTCCAGTTTGATGAAGCAGACCGGGAGCACGGGAGCAAAGTAATGTACTGCTGTAGAGTAGGGCAGCAGCAAAATGTATTTTAGACTCTTAGTGACCCCTTTCACATTACACATAATCATTTCATCCATTGTTAAAGTTACAGTGAGGAACATTTGACAGGTCTCAGTTTTACTAATGCCTCTTTATGACCTACGTAACAACGCTCCACGTGGCTGGAGACCAGGCTATATTGTTGGGCCCGCTGGAGGGACGAGAGGCACGGGAGAACCAGAACCAGGACTGAGCGGAGCAGACTGTCAGACCAGTTTTACAGAGGGGAGTCTGGCGCTTAGAAACACCACCACTTTTGTCCACAGGGACCGCCAAATTCATATTAAAATCAAAGTTCTCATAGTAGCTTTAATATATGAATATAGACAAGTGCAGCTTTAACTATATGCATCCCAACATAAATATCTAAATTCTGTTTCAAAACATTCATCTCATTGTCAAGAATACAACTTCACACTGAATCATTTATTTAGATCTAAAAAAAGTCAAATGTTTATCATAGTCTACAAAACACTGGAATCCGAATATAAAATGTATCTTTTACTTGTAAAATGAACTCCACAAGGTTTGTAAAAAACCTCAATTCCCATAAACAAATACTCTGGACATGATCCGAGTGTCCTAAATGGCAGCCACAGTCCCTCATCACATCTTCATCATCCTCATCAAAAGCAGAAACTATGCCTCATCTTTACACAGCGTGTTACAGGCACAGACACATGTTCACCATATGAACCCCTCTGTCTCTGCAGGGCTTTCCAGGAAATAATTATAATAGGATTGGGCATCCATTAAGCAAAACGCTGGACAGTTGGAGACTTAGGGATCAACAAGACCAGTGACACAATGGCTGCACACGACAGATGGGAATTAAAAAGGAAGGCTGGATGTAAAGATGGAATCCTTTTTATCTGTGAAAGCTGTAAAAACGGTCTGATACGGCAAGTAAAAATGAATTTCAGTGTGTTGACATGTCCTATTTTAGGATTTTAAAACCGTAATATAACCGTCATATATCCTTTTCCTCTTGTACTATGAAATGTATAAATCCCCCCTCCTTCGCACACCCACCCATACACCTCTACTTCCTCCAAACACCACAAATGGGCATGCCATCCTGCCAGTGTCCCAGAGTGAGAGCCTGACGGCAGAAGAGCCCACTGTGCATGGTTCTCACTTCGCTGACGATTCCCGCCTCATCAGATCGCTGCGCTTTTGACTCTCGGGCAACCGGCACTGTTACTTCTCAGTGAGGTAGAGCTAAGAATAGACCAGAACAGCCTCTTGCATAACGCAGCCACAGTGCATTCTGGGATGGGATGGCAGCGCTTTGCCAAGCAGCGGGCAGCGAGAACCGTCACTGCTGTGCTGCACTATTTTTCTCTGCCGTGCAGCAAATCTGAAGTCATTTAAAATTCAGTTTCATTGTTTGAAAAAAACAAAACACGCTTTATATGCTGACACGTAAGAATATTTCTACACATATTATTCCACAATATCTTTCGAGTGTTGAACTCATATTCAAATTTAAACCAAATACAAGATGTATAAAATTATTTTATTAATAATTAAAACCTAAAATATCAATATATCAAAGTATGAAAACTAGAAAGAGAAAGATGAAAATATAAATTAAAGGAGAGTAGTGACTATATTCTATCTTTGAGTAATTTTCAACAAATCCCATGAAAAGACCAAAATAAACAACGCCCATCTGTTTGCTGTTTTTGTCAGCTACAGCTATATCCGCTACGGAAATCACTTCTCCTGTGAAAAATAAAATCTTAAACCACTTTGCATTAATTCAACAGCACTCTGGCAGCCGGCCAGCTGCTGTTAATCAAACACAGACACCGACAGGTCGACCTTCTTCCATTCAGAAATAAAAAAACTATTATTAACTATTTAAAAACTGGTCACAAATGCAGAGTTTTGACCCAAATATGGTATCTGGAAAACAAGATCAAATATATGTAAATAATATGTATTTTTCAGACATAGTAGTGTTTGAGATGTCCAGTTAAACCTAGAGGAGTTTCTTATGTCTCTTTTAATGTGATGCTACTAGCGCCGCCGCTACGTACACTTTCAC